ATAATACTTATTTTAATAATTATAGCTAAAATTACTTAAGCTACTTTTTCTTTAAGTAATAAGGATTATTAAGTATGCTTCTTTAATTTTAAATTTATTATACTTATTAAGCTTACTTTTATTATAAGAAATTTAATATTTTCCTTTTAAGTTTAATTTTAATTAATAAATAGGTTTTCCCTTTTCTTTATCTTTTTCTTATTTCTTAATTATAACTTATTATTAATAATTTAAAATTAATTATCTTCCGCTTTTTTAAAATCTTTAAATTAAGCTTAATTAACCTTTATAATTTTTATAACTTTATTTTAATTTTTAATATCCTTAGCTATATACTTTTTCTTAATTATAATAATATTTATTTAAAAGTATTTATTATTATTTATAATTATAAGCTTTTTTTTAATATAAATTATATAATTTATAAAATTTATAAATATTAAAATTAAGCTAACTTTTTTTTAATTATTAAGCTTTTTAATTACTTTTAAGGCTTTTAATAAAGCCTTTCCTTTAAATAAAGAATTTACCTTAATAAGCTTATAATATTTAATTATATAAGGTAAATTAAACCTTTCTTTTTTAAATAAAAACTTTAATTAATTATAAATATTTTTTTTTAAATTATAGCTACTTTAATTTTAATATAATTAAATATAAGTAAAATTTAAATACTTTAAAAAGCTAGCTTAAATATTTTTAAATAAGCTAAGAAATATTAATAACTCCTTTAGCTTAAAAGCTATTAATAAGCTTTTTTAAAAAAGCTGCTTAAGCTTATTATATTAATATGCATTATGGTTTTAAAAAGTATAGCTATAGCAAACTTTAAATAACTTATTCTTTTTAAAGAAAAGTATTAAAATTATACTTTATGCCTTATTATTATTAAAATTATTTTAATTAAATTTTACTAAAGGTTATTAAATTAAATTTATAGCTCTTAGCTTAATTATTTTAAAATTATTTTATTATTTATTATAAGAAAAAGCTTTAATATTTTATTAAAATAATTTAAATTTATTTTTAAACTTAATTAAATTAAGTTTTAACTTTATAAACTTTTTAATAAATTTATTTATATTTTATAAATCTTAATTATATTTTTTAATAATATTAATATAATTAAACTTAAATAAAAATTATTAAGCTTATAGGTTTTTATTTTAAAGGTAATTTAAAAAATTAAAATTATTTTAGCTTTCTTAAAGGAAATTTAACCTTTTTAATTTAAGTAAATTTTAATTAAAATTATTTTATATAAATAAATATTTATCTTACTTAAAATATTTAAATTCTTAATTAATAACTTTTAATAAAGTATATTTAAAGTTTAATTAAAAAATATTTCTTATTAACTTATAAGTAATTTTTTTCTTTATTAATTACTTTTTTAAATATAATAAAAGCGCCTTATAAAAAAGTTAAATTATAATAAAAAAGATATTATTTATATTATTAAGTTCTTAATTATATTTTATAATTTTTTCTTTTTATACTTTTAAATTATTATAAAGATTATTATAAATAATATCTTTAATAATTATAATTAAGTTTATATAATAAATTTAATTATTAAACTTATAAAAGATAAAAAGCTTTTCCTTTTAATCTTTTTAAATAAATTATTTAATAATAATGCTTTTAATTACTTTAATTAAATTTAAAATAATATAATATTACTTAAATAATTTTAAGATTTAATTATTTAAATAAGAAAATTAATAAATAATAATTTTAAAGTTATTTAAAACCTTAATAATATTAATTTTATTAAACTTTAAAGTATTTAAATTATAAATTATAAATAAAGCTACTTATAATAAAATTATTATATTAATAAAAAGTAAGATTTTTAAAATATTAATTTAAATCCTTAACTTATTGCTAATAATAAATTATAAGATTTAATTAAAGCAAGGTTAATGCTTTAATTAATAATAAATAAGATTAAATTTCTTTTTTCCCTTAATAAGTTTCTTAAAATTCCTTTTTTAACTTTAAGTAAAAAAGGATAAATAGTTTTTAAAATTTAAAGATACTTTTAAAATAAAAGCAAATTTAAAAGGGCTTTAAGCTTAAAAATATAATATATATATTATAATAATTCCTATTAAAATAATAATAAAAAAAAAATTAAAAATAATAATATCTTTAATTAAAGCAATTATTTTTAAAAAATTTATTTTTAATATTATTATAAAATATTTAAATTAAAACTTAAAGGATAAAGGTATTAATAAATATAATAAATAAAATAAACTTAATAAAAGAATATTTTATTAAGAAATAAATATTATAAAATTATAATAAAGAAAGCTTTTTAAATTTATATTTAATGCCTTGCTTATTAATATTATATTAAACTTTTAATAATTTAAATTTAAGTTTAATTAAAGCTTAAATAAGGTTATACTTTAAGTTTAAGCCTTTTATATAATTTAATTAATATAAAAATGCATAATATAATGCTATTTATTAAACCTATAAGTAAATAAAATAAGCGCCTTAATTTTATATTATAACCCCCTTTATTTTAAACTTAAAGTTATAATAATAATAATAAATATTAATTAAGAATTTAAAGCACTTTTAATTAATATTAAATAATATTTATAAAATTTAAATTTATTATTTTAATTTTAAGTTTATATTATTATTATATTTAAGCATAATCTTTAGCAAGAAATTTAAAATAAGTTTAAAGCTTAATAATATAATAATATAAAACTAAGATAATATTTTATTTAAATAATAAAAGCATAAAAGGTATTTTAAAATTAAAAAATAATCTTAAAATACTTATAATATTATTATAAGTTTAATTATACTTAACTTTTCTTTATAATAAATTAAAGATAAATGCAAGCTTTAATTAAAGCTTTAAGTTAATATATAAAATAATTTAATAATATTTAATATAAAAATAAGAAGAAATAAAATTAATAAATAATTAACTTATAGCTAACTTTTTAATTTTCTTATTATTAATTAAAAATGCATAAAATTAAAATTATGCTTAAGCTAAATTATTAGTAAAAACGAGCTATTTAAATAAATAAAAAATAGGTTTTGCTAAACCCTTTTAAGGATAACTTAAGAAGGAGCTTTTAATATAATAAAGAAAAAGAATAAGAATAAAAAGAAGCTAAAAAAGGAAAAAGGTAAGTATTTTAGAAATTCTTAAGAATAAGAAAAGCTTAATTAAAGCATTAAATATATAAGAAAAGAAAAGAGTTAATTTCTTTAAGAATGTTTAAAATAAGCGTAAAAGCTAGCTTTTTATAACCAGCCGGAATTTAGCATGATACCATTTCTCACGTATTTCCCTGCACCCGCCAATAATAGCAATAAGATTAACCTTTTTATTTAAGCCTTTATTAATTATATTATTAAATTTAAGTTCTTTTTTGCATTTAAGGCAGCTTATAATAAGACTTTTATAATAAAAAACATTAAATCTGCATTTAAAGAAGCTAAAATTTCCTTAAAACCTTAATTTTATAATTTCTAAGCTTAATATCTGCCTATAAACTTTAATATAATTCCTCCTTATTTTTCCTTAAAAATATAAGTTTTAAATATTATTAAATGCTTAATAAATTATTTAATAATTAAGTTTTATTAAAAGCAAGATTTCCGTTTATTAAAGGAGCTCCCTTATATTAATTATAAAGGCTATTGATTAAATGGCAAAGGGTATAAAAGTAATGGCGCATAAACTTATTATTTTAAAAGATTAGGTCCATACTTTTAAGAATATTAATATAATATTTATTAAATGCTAAAGAGCTAAAAGAACCTAAATGCAGCTTAAAGAAGCACTTATTATTAAGAAATCTTAAGCTCTTATTTAAGAAAAATAAAAAGAAAAGCGGCTAGCTAATAAAATAAGTAATAATGCTAAAAAGGCAATCCGCGGTAAATTAATTAAATAATAATATAGCAATTACAGCAAAACTAAGCATAATGCAAGAACTTATAAAAAAGATAAAGAAAGGTTTAATTAATTAAATTTTAATTATATTATAATAAATCTAGCTTAATTAGCATTAATTAATGCTAAATGCATATTTCCTATTAAAAGTTAACTTATTTAAATTAGCACTATACTTACGTTAATGCTTTTAAATTAATAAAATTAAATTAAAAATAAGGAATTAAATATAGTTAGCATTAATTAATGCTAACTTTTTATTAATTTATTTACCTTAACGTAATGTTATGATTAATAAAAGTTAGGTAAAGTTAGAAAAATCCGCTACTTGGTAATATCCGCCACTTAATAGTAAACCACATTACCTTAAATAATTCCTTTACTCTTTTTAAATAAATGTTAAAAGAATTAAAAAAGAAGCAATTATTTTTTAATATAGGGTATATTTGGGTTAAGGGTATATTTATTATATAAAAGGTAAAAATAGTTAAAAAATGAAGTAAGGAGGAAAAAGGGTGTGGTGTGTTATGCAGCTCATTAGCGCCAAAACGATACGATTGATTGCATATGAGAGTATGAATTACCCTGTGGAGAGTGCTCCTTGTCGCCTCTATGCTGTGCCTTGCAAACACCCTGAGTCCCCCATCCCCCTCCCCTGCATTCCAATCATGCGCACTGACGTTGAATTGACTTGGACCAATTGAGGCGACGGCTTCACGTTAGTGCACGCGAATGAACAGTCCGGTTGCGTCACCGTGTTCGGAAAACACGGTAGAGTGGGCACACATGTTCATGGAGGGTTGGCCATTGCAATCAGGGACCACCGACGTCGCAGGGTGTGTGGGAGAGTCCTGCATGGTTAGCCTGGTCAAAGCGAGATTCACCCTTGCGTCCCAAGGGTCCTATAAATATCAACCTTTGGCGGCGTTCATTCTGGACTCGGTCCGAAATGACTCAGCAACGAAGCAGCGGACGCCAAATATCAAAGAGTGCTACTGTCACTATCGAGAAGCTTTTTCTTTCAGCACCTATTTCCACTCACTGCCAGCTGTCTCTGGACAAAATGACATATAACATCATGCCAAGTGGTGGTTCTCCTTCGCAGGCCAAGCGAGCCTTTAAGCCGGCAAATCTCGACCTGAAGCAACACTCGGCCTCTTCTTCTATACGCACTATTCCCGAGCTTATCGAGTACAACGCCAAGGTCAATCCAGACGCTCTTTACTGTGTGCAAGCACTCAAGCCACAGGATGAAGGGACAGGGAGAGCTTCGCAGGTCAGCATGCGCCAGCTCCGCGATGCGGTCTGGCAGTGCTCTGGTGATTTGCGAGGATGGCTTGTCGGTATTGACGATTCGAGCTCAAGTAGCGCGTGCCAGACCCATGTCAAGCCGGACCCGGTCGCATTACTCCTGGATAGCGATATAGGCCTCGTGATTCACCTGTTTACTCTCCTGTCTCTGGGCGTGCCTGCAATTCTGCTTTCCCCTCGCCTCAATCCCGCCTCCATCCAGCATCTTCTCACGACTCTCAAGGCACAGGCTGTCATCACGTCTCCCCGACATGTTGGCGCCGTCAAAGCAGCTTTCGAGACAACAAGTCTCGAGTATGGCAGGGGCGGTACCGAAATACAAGTTGCAAGACCTTTTGAGGACTACTTGTATGAAGTATGGCAAGGCAAAACTATCCCAGCTGACGTCACAATATGTGCGCCCCGGCACTTTCTCAGCGACTCGGACCACAACGTTGTTATCCTGCATACTTCCGGGACGACCGGTTTTCCGAAGCCTATTTACCAGCCGCACAAGATGTTGCTCGGGTATGCGTGCTGTCACCGCCCAACTCAGACTGAGGATGTTGAAGGACTGAATTTGTCCATGCTTCCACTGTACCATGTAAGCCTCCGCTGACTTCTCTAAATCCTAATGCATCAGTAATTATACTGATCCCGAAGCGCGACGATAGGGATTCGGCTTGGTTGTTGCGTGTCTGTCGCTCGGTACCGGAAAGCCCATCCTTTTACCGCCACCTCATGAGGTTCCAACGGCGCGGTCATCGGTGACTCTCCTGCACAGCTTCAAGCCCAGGTCTTTCACGACGGTGCCATGCATTCTGGAGGAGATCTCAAAGCTCCCAGACGAAGAAGGCATAGCGCATCTCACCACTTTGCAATATGTAGCATGTGGCGGAGGGCCACTCAGTATCGCCGTAGGAGACCAGCTGGTCGACAAAGGAATCAGGCTTCTGAACCACTTCGGATCTACCGAGAGCGGTCCCCTCAGCCCCTTTATGGTCCCACAAAAGGCCTATAACTGGCACTATTGGCCTCTGAGAAGTGACCTGGACGTCAGAATTGAATCCAACGGGACTGACGAAGTCAGTGGACAACAGCTCTATCAGCTTTCTGTCACGCCGTTCGGATGGAGCGAGCCTTTTGAACTCCAAGACCGTTTCGAGAAGGACCCTGAGTCCGGAACACCAGCGTTTCGAGCAGTCGGTCGGCAGGGTGACCTGCTCGTTTTGGTCAACGGACTGAAAGTGCAACCGAAGATTCTCGAGTCTCAGGTCGCCAACAGCAATTTCGTCAGAGCTGCGCTGGCTTTCGGAGATGGGGAGTCTGAGATTGGGTTGATCATTGAGCCGGCTGAGCCACTGACAGACGTCCAGAAGTTTAAGCGAGTAATATGGCCGATCGTTCAAGAGGCCTGTCGGCAAATGGACAGCCATGCTCAGGTTTCTTCCATGGAAAGTGTTGTGGTGCTGGGCCCAGGGGAGACACTGCCGAGGTCTGACAAGGGCTCTGTGCTGCGAAAAGAAGCATACCGTCGGTATGAAAAAGAAGTCCGGCGGGTTTACAGCAGCAAATCTCTCGAAGAGGGCTCAGCAACGGTCTCGAACCCCACGACAGACCGTCTCGAAGACACACTCACTGCGTTAGTCAGAGAGGAGTTGCAAATTCCTCAATCCTTAGGGCCCGATGATGATTTCTTCGAATATGGCGTCAACTCGCTGCAGGTGGTTCGTATCCAGAGACGCATCATTGGCATCGTGAAAGAGAGCCAAGATCTCTTGCCTAAAGCTAAAATCACAGCCGACTTTGTCTACAGACACACTTCCATAAATAAGCTTTGTGCGGCCCTGAAGAAAGATACCTCACCCGCCAAGGACGATGACCTAGTTCACGAATACGTGTCGCGCTTCAGTCTACCAGGAAAGGAAAACAAGCATACTGTGCTCCTAACCGGAAGCTCTGGAAGCCTTGGCTCGTATCTTCTATCACACCTGATATCTCTCCCGCAGGTGTCAGAAGTTGTCTGCTTCATGCGCACCTCCAGCGAGCGTGATGTAGACACCAGCACCCTGGTCGAGCAGCAAATCGAAGCCGCGGAGAAGAAGGGCGCAGTGATACCATCGAGTTTGAGGACTAAAGTTGCTTTTGCCAAAGGCGACCCATCTGCGACACGACTCGGCCTGCCTGGCGGCGCCTACGAAGGATTGTGCAGCAAGGTCACCCACATCCTGCACGCAGCCTGGCCTGTGGACTTTCAGCGGCCCCTGGAGTCCTTCAAGAGCCAGTTTTCCTTTCTCCAAAACCTCCTTCAGCTGGCCCGGGGTGCTCATATCAGCCAGCCCCTTGTCAAGCCCCGGCTGCTCTTTGTGTCGTCGATCGCAGCCGTGGGCGAGTATCCTACAGTCCGCGGCAGCCACGTCGTACCCGAGGAAGTCATCACGGACCCACTCTGCACTAGCAGTCTCGGCTACGGCAAGGCTAAACTAGTATGCGAGCGTGTTCTCGCAAAAGCCGCCGAAGACTGGTCCGCAGAGATGGAGGTGAGCTATGTTAGGACGGGACAGCTGTCTGGGTCCGAGAGCAGTGGATACTGGAACGCGAAGGAGCATATCCCCGCGCTGATCAAGATATCGCACGAGACTGGTGTATTCCCGCTGTTGCATGGGGTAAGCTTCCAGTGTTGTTGCATATTGATGACCGGCTAATGATGAGTTTTCATAGACCCTGTCATGGCTGCCAGTCAACGTCGCGGCCGCAGCCATGGCCGACTTGCTTTTGTCTCCGAACCCTGTCAACCTGGCTTATCACGTGGAGAATCCTGTCCGACAAGACTGGACGGCTGTCATGACCGCAATCGCGAATGAGCTTGGACATCCCGCGTCGTGTCTTGTCGAGTTTGAAGAGTGGACGAGGCTCGTGGGCCAGAAGACCTCTGCAAACCGCGATTTCGGCACCGAAGCCTTGATGGACTTCCTGCTCAAAGACTTCCAGCGCATGTCAGCTGGAGGAATTGTTCTGGATACATCAAGGGCCCGGGAAGTCTCAACGACCCTGCGGAATGCGGACGCTGTCTCGGTGGAAACCATTGCTAAGTATGTCAAAGCCTGGAAGACATCTGGCCTGCTTCTGTAGGTACCAGGTAGCATTAGGTAGTCTGAAGGCGTGATTGTGAGCGGGGAGAACTCGTCCAATATAAATTAGATCACCTTGGACCTCAGGGTTGAGGCTGGAATCCAGATGATACTATACTTATGGCTACATAGAAATAGAGGGGACAAATTTGAGAGTCAACTACACATCGGACACTGCAAAACAAGAAAGATGTACCAAAGCCAGGAACTCCCTGCCCGCACGACTTAATAGCCACATGCCTAGCTTCAGTGTTTCGAATTCCGTTCTAGACATCATGCGCCACAAATAATTCCCATCCGTGCTGTTGGCCAAATACGAGTACTTGAATATGTACCTTTTCTTTTTTTTATCTTGTGGGTGTGCTTTCCGGCAAGCAATCCCAGTTCGGACGATAATGCGATATCTTCTGCTCATCGCGCAACAGCCCCAGGAACCAAAGAGATTGGCCGTGTCCGTCGGGCCGCGCCGTTAGCCCGGCTCCATCGCTTGCTTAAAGTTTCGCACGTTGGTACAACCAACCAGCCCACCACTCAATACTGTATCCAAATTCGCTGGCACAAAAGTTTCACGATAGCTTCAGTCTCTGGCACATATCTCACGTACTTCTCGCGCTCTTGAACGCCCATTCCGTCGATGCACTTCGCATTTGATCTGCTGTATGGATTTGTGATGGCGGGAGTATAATTGCACCGTGTCCGTGTTGAAACACCTGTTCCCCTGCGAATTTGTCAGCGTCTACGGCCGTGATTGGTGACGAACCCGCTGAGATGAGCCTGTTCCCCAGTGTAATCTGCCTGCATTAGTAAACAGAACGAGACAGACATAACGGCAGGGGTTGTGCTGAGAACGAAGGCCCCGAATGGCACTAGGAGAGTCTCAGCTCGGCGACTTGTTTTGAAAGTGCATGAATGGTCATATAATAAGTTGGGCGAGTTCCTCTAGCTCGAATTTGGTGCTAGCTTCTCACCATTGTCTTCTCTCCACCCGATCCCGGTCTAAGGTGCTCCATTTCGTTCAGTGCCAAACAACACATCCTTCGACATTTCCAAACGTCCGCAGACCCCAGTTCAAGATGTCTAGCTCCTCTTTCTACGACAGTTTTGTTCCCATGTTGGTCAACTCCCTCGAGTCTATCGAGGCTATTCTCACCAGGGCCGAGGCTCATGCCAAGGAGCACAACATTGACGTCAATGCCGAATATGCCACAGCAAGGCTCTACGAAGACATGCGGCCTCTGCCCTTCCAGGTTCAGACCGTTTCAAATGCGACCAAGTCATTCGTCGAGAAGATCACTGGTGTAAAGGTCGGGGAATGGAAGGATGACGAGACCACTTTCGAGCAGCTGTTCGCCCGGATCAAAAGGACTCAGGAGTTGATCAAGGGTGTCAAGCCGGAAGACGTCAACGGCAAAGAAAGCCAGACGGTCGAGGTGTAAGTCAAGGATCAGCATTGCGATTTTGACAATTGACCTGGAGATACTAACATCCGAACAGGAAGGCTGGGCCCACTCTCTTCGAGACAACAGCTTTCGCCTATGTTACAACTTTTGTCATACCGAATCTCTTTTTCCACCTTCAGACAGCCTATGCCATTCTTCGGATGAAGGGAGTCCCTCTGTCAAAGAAGGACTATCTCTTTGCTTTCCTAACAAAAGCCCCGGGCCAACCGTTTACACAGCAGTAGGGTCAATACGCAAGGAGCGGAGGCGTCGGTATTTCGAGTCTGAAGCTATCGAGTCTAAGAAAAAAAACGTGGGGTGGTATGCCAAATTGAGAAGGGTCTAGGTCGAAAATTATATTTGGCCCCTTTTGCGCGGTGGCATATTGAAATTATTATTCATCTTGAAATGAAAAACCCAAGTGCTCCACCAATGACTGTTCGATCGACGGCACAGAATCCGTTGGCTGGACGAGACGTAGTATGTGCTGGTCAGGCCTGATAAGCAGGCCACCTCCAGAGCTCAGCTTCCCTTCGGCAGCGAAAAGTTCTTCTTGTCTCTCGTACACAAAGTCAAAGTCATGATGAGCAATAACGAGGGCTACCCTGACACCACACTGCTTCATCGCAGCTTCCAGCGCCTGAAAGCGTTCGGCCCACTGATCTCGCGAGCCGACAAGTAGTGTGAAATGATCATACGGGCATATGTCCAGTGTTGAATACTGCCGTGACTTGATATCTTGTTCCGAGAACTCCTTGACATAAGAGACGTCGACCGGCGGTAGTGGCGCGGTACCCTTAATTCTTACCCATGCATGGGGAAGACGAGCCCCTGGCACAAACTTGGGGGTATAATGTGATGCGTGGGCTGGTGCTTTGTTCATTCCGTAGACGTAGCCAATATGGATTTCAAGCTTGGAGAATGTCAACATACGAGTCCATTTGCGTAAGCATCAGAGTCGTGCACTCACATTGTCGAAATGCTCTCTCTGTCCCTCTACCTCATCAGCGATCATCTGCTGCTTCTCTGGGGTATGGATGTTCCGCAACAGATTTTCCCTCGCTTCTTGGACGTCCTTGATCCCAGCTGTGCCTAGAGCCTTCAAAAAGGAGAATATCTGCTTCCCATTCTTGACGCTCTGTGCTGCATTCACTACAGCCACAGGCCGACGTTCCTCGGTGTAGGTCTCCAGAAGCCTAGGCCCTGCCCATCCCTGAAGCACTGCGGCAATTTTGTAGGCTATATTGTGCACGTCCGCCAGCCCCGAGTTGAGTCCCAGCCCTCCCGTCGGCGGGAAAGAGTGTGCCGCGTCGCCGCAGAGGAAGACGTTGCCGACTTGGTACTGCTTTGCGACCTTTCTGCTCAGGACCCATGGCCTGTAGCTGAGAACGTCGAAGGGCACGTCGTCGCGCCCAATCGCTGCTCTGACCGTCTCACGGGCGATTTCCTCAGTCCAGCTCTCCAGCGGCAGCCTCTCTGAATCAAAGTTGCTGATTAAGACTTGATTACCGGACAGGTCGTATGCGATGATGAACCCTGAGCAGGCTGGGTCGGTGATCCAGTGCAGCATGCCAACTCGCTTCCCGACTACTGGTCGTAGGTCTGCACTGAAGTGGATGGTCATCATTGTTTCGTCTGTGAAGATATTGGTGTCAGAATGAGGACGGCAGAGTTCGAAGATACAAATCAAGAGACTTCTTCATGTCTCGAGGGCACGGGAGGGGGATCAGAGGTTCTACGCAATGGTTTCTTACAACTATCTTCTCCCTCGCTCTCTACGCCGAGCCACTTCCGAACTTGGCTCTTTGCACCGTCACAGCCCAATACATAGTCTGAGCGAATTTGGTATGTATCATTTGTATCCCTCGACGCGACGGTAGTGATCACTTGATTTTCGGCCTGCAGCTTGTCAATTACCATCCGGGTCACATGCGATAGTGGAATTATCGACAGAAGGCTGCATTTGACAAGAACTGACCTGCTCGCAGGACTCAAAAGCAACACCTTTTCTAGTTATAACATTCTGATCGCCTTGGAGAAGGTCTGCAATGAACGATTCAAACTCTGGCTGGGGTACGTTGTGAATCATCTATCGCAAAATTCATGGTCAGCAAAGTGCATTGCGTGGCGAGCCAGCACTTTCGTTGGTCATTTACCTCAGGTGTCTCGTTGAGAACATCAGGATCCATTCTTTCGTATGGCAGGAACCCAATCTTCTCTCCACTGAGGTTGGCCAGAAAGTTCACCCAGTGGGAATCTTCACGAGGCGTCCCGATTTGGCGCAATGCCCTTGTGTCGACTCCAAATTGTCTACAAAGCTCGAAGCTCCTTGGGCAGATGGCATGGGCCTTGGGCGCAGCCAATCGTGTAGAATACTTTTCAATAACGAGACATTTCACTATAACTTCTGTCAGCAAGTCTGCATAGGTATTCTTATTGAGCACAGTGGCCGGAGAAAATATGCCAGCCGTCGCAAATGCTAACCTCTGAGCTTCGAGAGCAGATACGCGGCCAGTAAGCCACTGGCTCCGCCGCCAACTATGAGGACGGGGACTTCGACCGGTGTTTCATCGCCATTTTGAGGACTCATCTTGTTGTGTGGTCACGACTTGAGGATGCGTTTTTCTCGGACTCAATAACAATTCGATTGGAAGAAAGGTATTCAGAGCCGCCACAAAAGATAAATTATCAACAAGCTGTTTCACGTGAACCTGACCCGAGACCACCATGTGAGACCGAGAGGAGGCTAGGATAACGCCGGCAAAGATGCCGAGGCTTTGCAGGGGCCAGAGAACAGAGTTCTTGGCACGCCGGAGGTGTAAAACCAACACTTTTGCAAACTCCGTAAATCCGAGCAGATATGGGCTTTGGTTCTCCCTCAAGGTTCGGCGAAGGTCATAGGTAAGATATATTCGGTGCATGATCTTCTGGGGTGCATTTCTGCAGAGCTTCAGGCACCAAGTTCAATTTATCGCCAGTTGTGTTAGGTGGATCAGGTCGCGAAATGCCAATACACAGTCCTTTTTTTTTAATACTCACGCTTCGATGGCGACTGATGCTGAACCATCTTTCAGTTACTGCTCATCAACCTCTTTTACTGCGTTATGTGGCAACATACACCCAGGAAAACAAATTTTATGACAAACACTCTGAACTTGTCCGACTATGAATATTCAGAGGAAACGGGTTGGAGTGTAAATTTTGAACAATGTCAGCCTTTGATCTTCGAAGTACACACTTCCTACTTAGTAATGTACAACCAGAGCCTCCTCGTTCATGACCTCCTTGGTAACATGGACTCCCAACCTGCCGTTTCCAGGCATCCTCAAGAAATCCGAACTGTGACCAACTCTCTGAGCGAGACTCTTTGACGCGTTTCGCACGGTTTGACAAGTCCATCTAAAAGCTCCAAAAAGTGAACGAAGATGACCCGCGAGCCTAACAAACCAGTGTGGGAGTTCAAGTCACCCCACGTGAGGTTATACCAAATTTATCTCAGAGACTGTACCGGAATGACGTATTTTGTCTATCGGTCATGTCCAATAGCCCTTTATCGACCTTTTGACGGTAACGCTGCCCATGAGAATCAAGCCTCTCCACATAACCGTTCGTTCCCACCGGATATTTCGCCTGCCAGGCATCTCTTCGATGATTCTCTTTGTTGAGCAGCCAACGAATGGTAAACAGCAAGATAAAATTGCAGACATAAGATGCCTAAAATAACAGCGTCAGGCCATGGCTCCTTGGACTCTTCTAGATAGAGAATGAATGGACCTACAAGGCAAATGCTATAGGGCACATAATTCCTGGGTTTGTACTGCGCTCTCCAGAACAGGGTGCAGAGAGTCTGGCCAAGAGAATACCCAATGAGCAAGATCGCATTAACAGCAAGTTTCTAGGAATTGACATTAGATCAAAACTTTTCCGTGGTATGATGAGGTTGAATAAGTTCATGTTGAAGAATGAATTCAAGGCGATGGTGGAAATGAAGTACCTTGGTGTGGCCTGAAGATGTAACCGTGACCCAACCGACAATCATGGCCCACGATGGTGCTCCTCCGAAGCACATCAGATAGTAGGCGCAAAGAAGCCCATTTCGATTGCTCCATGGTAGAGTCATGAGTAACACAACGGCTAATACCGAGGGAGCGAAGAACGCAATGGCGATCCAGCATCTGGTATTCTGAATGACATACTCAGGTCAGACGTTTTTCCCACTTTCATATTCAAATTGATGCTTTTAATACTTGACACACGTACAGGAAACCGACGCAGAATGAGTGTCGCGAGCGTGGTCGACACAATCTGAGCTGCACCTGCGGGGATATTGAGTGCTGTGGTCTGCAGAGTTGTGAATCCGAAAGACTGAATGATTAAGCTGTACTGAGTACCTATGCCGTTTTGGAGATTGCTGGAGCGCATCCAGAGTCAATACTGATATGGTTGTCTATTCAAAAGGAGGACAAGTAATACACCCAACGATTGGGTGAGAATTACAGAGACCAGAAAGGTTCATGAGCGTTCAAACTTACGAGATTGCAGCAAGAAAGAAGAAGAGCCACGTCTTAGCATCCTTGATCGCTTCAACAGCTTGTTCGCGCTTCCACACCTTCGTCTCAATGCCACTCTGGTTTGATTGAATGCGATGCACCACTTTTATCTTCTCATCCGTGGTTAGGAACCAGGCCTCCATCGGGCTGTCCGGGAAGAACCACCAGAACAAGGAACCAATAAGCAGTGAAAGGCTCGTGTAGATGATTAATAAAAGCTGCCATTGGGCAGGTTTCTTGGTGGGGCTCGAGTGCGCAACACCGTATGCCAAAAAGCCAGAAATAATCGTCGCAAACCCATTGCACTGGATCGTCCACCCAATGCGCTGCCCGATCTCGGTACGATTGTAGAACATAGAAGTGGCTACCATGACGCCGTTGGTCATGCAGCCCTCAGACGCCCCGAGCAGAAATCGGAGGATGACTATTGTGGTCATGACACGGGTTAGAGGAACATGTACCGCACAAGAAAAAGTTGACGACGCAGTGGCAAATAATCACTCACAAAGGCCACCGAAGTTGGTACACACGCACTGAAGCCCCAGGAACAAAGCCCACAGGAGAATGTTGGCTGCTAGATATTTGCCGACGGGTAAACGTTGTAGTGCCCAGGAGTGCGGATAGGCCCAGATAATGTAGCCTTTGGTTCAACCATCAGTGGGCATCTTGCTGAGCCAGGGGTTGCCACAAAAGCTCACCAATATAAAATGCGGATCCCAGCGTGTTGAACTGGTCAGCAGTGAGGTGGTTGTCGCTTATAAGTCCCAAGATAGAAGATGCCCCTATGGTCGTTCTATACGTCATGGAAATGCATTAACTATCGGGCCAAACTTCAAAGTCTTCTTTGATAGTACTCACTTGTCCAAGTATTGGACTGACGCACATATTGAGTCAGCAAAGACACTGCGGGAGCGTTTCCCAGGAATGAATACGGAGGCGAATACCCACGAATGTATACCGCGAATAGCAATGGCAGAACAACACGGTCAACCTTGTTTCGTATTCTTCGCGCCTCGGCTGGGTTCAGGGACTCGTCGTCATGGCCAGCCACCAGATCTACCGCTTTGTCAACTCCCTTGCTCTTGTTAGTACCTGGACGCAACGTTGGATATGTCACAGATGAGCAAAAGACTCACATTTTCATATTGCTCAACCAGGTCAACGGTCTGGTGGACCGCTGGGGATTTGGCCGTCATGTTACGGAATGGCTTCCCCGTCTCAGGTGGCTTTCAAATGTCAAGAACTCTTTCAGTCGGCGAAGATGTGAATAACGGCAGAACATTTTCGAAGGTGGATCTTGGTCTTTTTGAACAACTCTGGTGGGTCTGTGTATCTTGTTCTTGCACCCGGCCCTGCTCCGGCGACGTATGCAGCTTTAGAAATTAAACCTTCCGATTGAGCCAAAGATGCAACACGACTCTATCAATGGTATCGATAATTGGCCCTGCACGCACTAGGGCGGGTGACAGTGCAGCCGCTGAGTTGCCATTTGGCTTGGCGTTGGTGAGACTGAGCCTACTGACGGATGACAAAGAGAGGGGGTTTACTCAGCGGTGACACCCATTACTGAACAGAATGACCATCGTGCACGAGAATAAGCACCACGTTCCATTTAGTTTCTCAGTTCTCAAAGGCGCCCGGATGCTCCGAATGCCTCAGTCTCTTTAGAATCTGTCTATTGACGAGCTCAATATGGCTTCAAACACAATCCTCGACGCGGCGACCCCGACTGCAGCTCCCACGTCCCTGCTATCAAAGTTCAATGCAAATTCCATATTCGTGGGATGCGTGACTATCTATTTGCTAGGGCTTGTAATCTACCGGCTGTATCTGACCCCATCGGCGAAGTTTCCTGGACCACGACTGGCAGCTTTGTGCTACTGGTACGAATTCTATTACGATGTCTGGCCTCATGAAGGACAATACACATGGAAGATTCGCCAGCTTCATGAAGAATACGGTACGTGAACATCGTTATGGCAGTATGATCAGCCGAACTTTGTGTCATCAAAGATTTGTCCGTAGCTATTACTCTGACTGGAAGTACAAGGTCCCTTTGTCCGCATCAACCCCTGCGAAGTCCATTGCAATGATCCGGATTTCTTCAATGCCTTATATGTAAGCTCGGCGAAGAGGAAGACCGACAAGTGGATCTGGGCTGTTCGACAGTCGTGAGTTTCCTCTATCTGGCCATAGCAACGTGTGATGCTTATCATGACCTAGTTGGACACGCAAGTCGTCGTTCAAGACTCTCACTCATGATCTACACAAGCGGCGGAGGAACCAAATAGCTCCGTTCTTTTCAAAATCCTCGATCAGAAGACTGGAGCCTCTCATAATCCATCAGGTCGACAAGCTCTGCTCCAGGCTCGAAGCGAAATCGCAGTTGGTCCCAGCATCCCAGAAAGTGGTGAATCTGACACACGCTTTCATGGCGCTTACTGGCGACATCATCACCAAAGTTTGCTTCGGACAGCCCACCGGCCTCCTGGACCTCGACGACCTGGCAAGAGACTGGTACGAAGGCCGAGTTATAGGCAGCCGTTCCAACCACCTGCTCCGGCAATTTCCGTGGCTCTTTTTCCTGCCACTGGGCTGGGTTTCAGGGGGGAAGTCAAGAGCAGCGGCAAGCCTCCAGTATGCTCAGCAGAAACAGAGAGAGCTCCATGAGCTCGTCACGCACCTAGTGGATGAGCACTCTACCCAGACCGCTGATGAAAAGACGCCCGACGGCCCCGAGCAGGAGGATCTGCCCGCCACCGTCTTCGCATCCATGCTCAACGCCAACGTGCCGCCCTCCGAGAAAAACGTCTCCCGACTGACCGAGGAAGCCTTCACCTTGACCGGGGCAGGAACCATGACCACCGCCAACGCCCTCAACTCGATCGCCTACTACGTCCTCAGCCAGCCCGAGTGCCTCGCCCGCCTCAGGGTGGAGCTGCGCGCGGCCTTTCCGGACCCGTCGGCGATCCGCTCGTCGGCAGACCTCGAGAGGCTGCCTTACCTGACGGCGGTGGTCACGGAGGGCTTGAGGCTGAGCAAGGGCCCGCCGCACCGGTTCGCGAGGGTCTCACCCGACGAGGACTACTCGTACCGACACGCGGACGGCCACGTCGAGACGATCCCGCGCGGGGTGCCCGTCGGCATGTCTTTCATCGACATCTTGGAGGACGAGGAGATCTTCCCGGACCCTCACGCGTTCAAGCCCGAGCGTTGGCTGCCGTCGGCACCCGGCCCGGGACACGCAAGCGCGGCGCCTGATGGGGGTGAGACGAGTGATGATCCGGCGGTGCGCCGCCGCAGATGGGCGGTTTCTACCGTGTTTGGTGGAGGGTCGCGGATGTGCATCGGCCTCCACCTCGCTTGGTCCGAGATGTACTTGACCATTGCCACTCTTGTGTCACGATTCGGCGATAGGATGGAGCTACATAACGTTGACTTCGAGCGGGATATCAAGATCACCATAGATGGCTTCGACGCTTATCCTGGGCGAGGGCATAAGGGATTACGAGTGATGATGTTGCCAGGATAGATGGAACACTGATGCATAATGTGCTGTGAGTCTAGCAGGCTATCTCCCAGTAGATTAACTCACGGTAGGTCTCAGGAGAAGGACTTGGTAGAGGATTCAAGTTGATGATGGAGCATATCACGAGATTGTTACAAACTTGAGTACGGACTCAAGTATTCTTCGAGCTCTCATACGTGTTTAGGCTCTAGAGTAGCTGCCCAGGTAGCCCTGGACATGGCGTACGACCAATATCCACCATGAACTTCAGTTTGTAAGGCTGACGGGCGGGTTGCCAACTGGACTTAATAATAAAATGTGCCAGGATCATGAGGCTCAGCATAACATTGTGTTCAATGACAATAGACGGAATCGATTATCAGGGCTGTGTTGATTATTTGTGCGACGTGCCCTCTGCCCTGACCTCATAGATGACATTCGGCTTTGCGTCCTCGGTCTCTGAGAACGGCCTGACCAAGGCAAGAGTGTAGCTGTCCAAATCAATCCGCCTTCCGGGGTGTCGTACGCCCGCCTCGAGGACTTCGTCCTCCTGGTACTCTAGTCCCCCCTTGCCAAACGCCCCAGACTGCGGAGTCTGCATTTCGATGTCGTCCCCACCCCCCTGCCTCCCCTTATACCGGTCTGGCCGGCTCTCATCGTCCTTCCAGTGCCGGTGGGGTTCGGAGGAGATCTGATACGTGCTCTCGACCCTGAACTCCCTCGTGATGAAGATCTCCTGGATCTTCTGCGTGACGACTGGCCAGAAGACGGGGATCGAGGCGAGAATTGTCGAGAGCCTGTTTTCCGCCTCGCCGAGTACAAATATGCGGGGAAGGTTGAACGTCAGATCCTCGTTCAAGCCCTCACGATCCAAACCCTCGTTGGAAGCGAGGCGCAAGCCGGCAATTATATTAATACTTGTTGAGTACGTGTCAGCCCCTTGCGCTACGCATACATCATTTCACAGCCGGTGGTGAGCGTCTACTTACATGATACCCAGACCGAATAAAGCCAAAAGCCCGATCTTCGTATTACGTACGGTGTCATTCCGGAAAAGTAGAGGAATCGGAAGGATGAAAATCATGACGTCGAGTGCCATGTTGATGACATTGGCAGAAATCACCGCCCGGTATACTTGAGTTTGGTCTGTGGAGCCATATCTATAGTCCTGGTAAGTAGGTGCCACTGATGTGATCTTCAGATGAGACTGTATCGAGGGGTCGAGCGAGGCGCAAGAGAAAATGGCGCGTGGGTGGGTGGGCTTACGCATAGCAAAACGCCTTCAAGTCTCGCCGCCAGAAACCCTCCACTGGGATGCACGGAAACCAGGCCAAGAACCCAAATGCGAGGCCGTATGCGCAAGTAACAAAGGTAAGCGCAACACAAAGCCGCCGTAGTCGCGGGTCCACGAAAGTCCGGAGATACTGAATAAGCAGTGAGACCTTGACGATAGCATTGCTCATGGTGAAAGAGGCGTTTGAGAGGTAAAACAGCTTTGGACTGTGTCAGCAAAGCTCGCATGAATGAGGGCCAGAGAAATTCGTATCACATACCAAGAACAGAGTCTCCAGATCCCCTCGGGGTATCTCGTATATGTGATGTCCCATGCCATAGTTGGTCGCTAGAAATGAATGAGCTAACGCTGAATAATTGTCTTTTTTCAATGTCACGGATAAAATTCGTACCAACGGCCAAGCTGATCCCACTCACTGACCCAGCGACCTTCAGTCCCGTCCGTGTCAGCACAATCTCCAAAGTCTCATAGGTGGGAATGGGACAGCACACGCGAATATACGTACCAGCGCGATAGCGATGAAAAGGTCGTCCCACCCGGGAGCCCGCACGATCCGGAATCGAGTGTAGAGCCGAAGAGCCACGGCGGCCCACGCCAGAACCTGATGGGCATTTCTGTCAGTGCCAGCTTGAACGGATGCCGGGGGCTCGTCAGGCACGTACCAGGAAGGGGACCAGCGTGCCAACAAAGTCCGACTTGCGGTTCGGCCATGGCAGCCCATCGTCGGAGTAGGTGCGATGAGCGGCGGGGGCCGACGGGGCCGACGCCACTGAGCTCTGATTACCCAACATATCTGCGATGGTAGCGACCGAGAAGGCAGATCAAAAAAGGACCCCAAACTACATCTTCAGGAATGTGGGGAGAGACTCCAGCGGAAGAAGAGGTGTGCCTGTCCGGGGAGGCTGGCCAATATACTCTAATCCGGGGGGAGGGCCCACCTCATTCCAACTGTCCGGAAACTCCTCGGAAGAGACTGGATCATCAGACGTTATAATTCGAGGCAGCCTTCCAGAAGCAGAGCCCCCAACCGAAAGAGAGAAAGAGTTTAATTTCTGCCTTGGACTTGCGCCTTCCCGCCCGTGTCAGCCCTCAGCTCACCCCGGCAAATGACTCAAAGGGTGCCCATTCCGACACGGGTTTGGCACGCATCCAATGTGATCGCCAAAACGCACTTACAAAGCTTAAACGGGCGTGCGCCATGACTCGTCTGTTTGCCGAGGTGTGCGCTGGCGAACGTACCCACGGCAGCAAGGGTCGTCGACAATAATCTTTCCTCCTCTTGGGAGATGGGAAGGTCGAGTTTCAAATGGTCTGATATGAGGCGGTTAAGATTCTACTGGCACCTGCTGGTGATGATGCGTGTTGTTGTCGGTGTGAGCCATGGTGGAGGTGGTGCACCACCTTCCGATGATGCATTGGCTCTCTAAAACTACCGTTGCCAAGCTACATATGTAGAGACTGATTCTTCACCCAGGTGTGTTGCAACCAAGTATGTGGGTAACATCCGCATGCGTGACAGCCATGTGCATGCAAGCAAGCGCGCCGCCTGCACGGTCCTGCAATAAAAGAGTTCACCGCTGGCATGAAGCTCAAAGTGCCGTGCCCACTTGTGAGAATTTATAGAAGGGAACTGAGAAAGAACTCTTGGAATCCGAATTCGAACTCGCGAAACCTCTCAACTTATGCGGCACGCCAGAAGACAGACTTGGGATGTTGACCCGTAACAAATCGTTCAACACCAATGCCAACTAACGGGAAGACCCGCCGACCGGCCTACACACAATGTCGGAGATCCATGGAAGCTGTCAAGACAAAACTCGCCCATAACCTGGTTCTCGGGAGCCCGCACGAGCGCCAGCCAAGGCTCGAACAAACCCGTGTCGCGCGGGAAGGACATGTCTCTAAGTCGATTCACTGGAACCTGTAGACGAACACACAAGAGTGTAACCCAAGGCGCCCGGTTAGTTCAGGTGTCTGCACCAGAGCACGTCAGACCGCAGGGTGACATCCGACACGGGTGCGCGCATGTGGGTTGAACACCCGGCAAGTGGGAGGTAGAAAGTTTGCATTTGCATTTGCACAGACTCCTCCCGGTGGAGAGACGGGTTTGTTTTTGGAGCAGACGCCCGCATTGCAAATATCTCGATGCCACTCTTGCTCGAGCGAGCCCCAGTCCGCCTTTCATCAACAGGCCTGCGACCTAGAAGGGGGTTCACAGAATAAACGCCGGCGCTATGCATAAGAAAACCATGATTACACACGAAGCTCGTGGTGGGGTTCGGTCGGGCACCTTATTTATCTCCCCCCCCCTTAGTTTTCGGCTACCTCTCTGCGTCTCTCACTTCGACAAGGCCATCCTGCACCAGGGAGGCCAATGCTGACCGGCAGGTTTCGTGCGCTCTACCACCGACAAGAACCCTGCGGCTCGAACGGGAGGATGCAAGTGGTTTAAGCCAAATTACCACGCTTCAACCATGACCGACTCCTTGTATAAGAGTGCCAACGCCTGTTAAACCAGCTACCGGCCATCAAAACTCGGCAAATGCCGACATGAGGAAACATAAGCTTTCAAAGTCGTCATCGTGAGGACCAAGGCCGGGTCCGCTCAACGCAACGTCGACAGTAGTGCTGGAGCTAGAGCCGGGAAGGCACGAACGGATGCCTCGATCAAAGAAATTCTGGACATGTGTTGACCTGAGCAGTGATTTTCAGTGGGTATAATCCGCTTCAGAGTTCTGCCTCGTATGCCGTGCGGGTAAGACGTGAGTATGTCTCTGTTTGTGAACTGTCGGTGATCCTTGTCCTGGGCTTGTGCTGCATTATATTCTTGAGGGCTGACGCAAGTCCTCAATGTGGAAATCTAACTGGTTGGAGTGGTAGACATGACCACCCGGGTGCTTAGCGTCGGTGTACAGACCGTTGATGCTGTGCTGGTGGAAGGTGGAGGACTGCGTGCAGTGGAGAATGTGGTCGAGCCCAGGTGGGTTCGTTAGTCGGAAGATGCCGTACCTATGTGGATGTTAGCCGAGATCCGAACACCCATTTCACATTTAAGGGGCGCCAGGGAGGACAGGGTGGGCCTTACGAAGGGTCGGATCGTGGAGCACAAACGATTGCGATACTCTCCGGCATCATGACCTGGTAGCCCGATTGGGTATGCAGGTCTCTCGAGCTCATGAAGCATGTCTGAGTTGGATGAGTGTGTATCCACCCGAACACCATGAGATCTTCTCTCATGCAGAACTCGATCACCTCTTCTTCGTTGTCCGTCTCGCAGGTATCGGTGGTGCATGTCTGCTTTGGTATCACAAGGCAGCTGACGAACAAGGCATTGTTGACTGATGTCCCGCACAGTATGCCGCACATCTCGAGGCCATTTCTGGTATTTTGTGAGGCAATGCGGAGGAAGTCGTCACGTAGTCTATCTGGCAGGAAAACGGGTCGAATCGGGGTCCCGTTCTCGAGGTAGGCCGCGGGCCTGAAGGTGTAGCGCTCCTTTCGGTCCATGGACTTTGGTGGCAGCTCTGGGGCCTGAGGCTGTTCGGTCAGCGGTGATCTGTCGTATGCTGAATCGAATGAGTCGACAGGGGCCTTGTTCGGCCGCGGAGGCGCTGACTGTGGCTCGTAGTGGGGCTGGGAGGAAAGCTCTTTTGCTGGACGAGGAGGCGGGCGAAGAGGGCGGCGGTTGGGTGTGTCGCCTATGGAAGACTCGTACTGGGGAACCGAGGATCTCGAGATGGAAGGGTATTGGTATGATGGCCGTCGGTCATAAGTGCTGTAGCTGGTTGGTCGTGATGAGTAGCTGCCGTCCGAGCTGGGTGGCCGTGCCGCCTGGTCTGTCTGGTCCAGTCTGCGGCGCGCAGCATCCATGTTGCGCCTGATGTCATCGCCATCATCGCGGGCAGTGCCCCTTCCGTCTCGAGGGGCAGGAATGTCCCAGTCGTCCCAGAGCCCAGCGCCGCGTCGTGCCTGCTCTTCCTCCTCCGAAATGCCAGCTTGGCGGGTCGCCTTACGAGCCGCATCACGCCGTCTGATTTCCCGCTGGGCAAGGTCGACCGCCAGATCCTGATGCTCCCCTGCGTCCAGTATCTTGGCCCGAACCTTCGGGTTCCATGACAGCGCTGGGTCCCTCGCAGCCTGTCTCTCGTACGGAGACTTCTCTCCCTCAAGTTGAACGGATCCGTCACGTTGGCTCGCATGTATCTTGACCCACTCGTCGTGGGCTTCGGTTATCTGGGGCTTCAGCTGGCCCAACGTCTCGAAAACCCTGGGCAGTCCCGCAGCGAGTGGTTTCAAGCCGCGTTTCCCTTCTGGTGTCTTGGCCTCTGGGTGTTTGGGCAGGTGCTCTAGGACGAGGGTCGAGTATCGGAGAAGGAGGAGGTACGCTTGGCTCATGTTGCCTTCCCGGGCATACATATTGCCCTGCGATGGATCGGGCGGTTAGCAGGGTAAGGATGAGGTGGCGGCGGAGGGCATATTTACCTGACGGAGAAGGGTATCTGCGGCGCGCAGCCATTGCTTGAGGGCGACGAGACCGTTGAACTCGAACTTCCTGGCCTCGACATCGATCTCCTTGACACTGAGCGGCCGGTCCGGCAGAGTCCAAGTGGTGTTCATGTTGGGCGACCTGACTGGACAATGCAGTCAAACGGTCTGGCGACGAGGGTGGCTAGGCGATCACTCCGGGGTTGCTGCGCATGTCATCATGCGACAGGGAACGAACGGTTGGGATCGGGACTTCAGGAGAGGGACTGGATCAAGAGACGCGAGGTGGTACAGTCAGTCTAGAGCCAGACCGTCTGGCTACAGACTGGCAGTCTTGGAACACACGAGAAGACCAGCATCAGCAGGAAGGAGAAGAAGACAGAATACCATAGGCTGGTAGGTAGATATCACTACGGCGTAGACTGGTATTGTTGGTGTGTTTCGACGATGGTTGTCAGTTAATTAATTTCTGGGCCGGCTCGTGTTGCAGATCAGGCGCCCACGCGTAGGTGTGCCGCCGACTAGCAGAGCCACCCCAGCTGTCAGGCGTACATACGAACGGCACTGTTAGTAGCTCGGCCTGGGAGCCCCGCGATCGATCATCGCCCTGCGGTGCCGTCGGGGGGAAACTTGGCGGGGCACTTGATGAGCCCGCCTGGCCAGTGCACTTATCAAGTGTCCTCGGCTGAGGTAAGCATTTCGACAAGGGGGGAGCTGGATGAAGACATTATTGTTGTCGTCTCTGATCACATCTTGTGAATCTGTCGCCTATGTTGCTATGCGGACATGGACGTAGTTTGTTTTCATTGCCTCTATTTTCATCTCTAGGTTGGCTGGCATTTACAGTTTCGAGTCTAGGCAACTGAAAGTCAACAAACCTTTTGGGTCGGCAACATATCTTGATCGTCATACTCTATCACTGTCCACAACATTCGTGTATGTCGTGGCTGGCCAGAGAGGATGCACTTGGACAATGCTTGCCTACCTACCACAGGATATATTGAAATGGAGGTCTGGCTACAGTCCTCTAGCGTCTCCCCCAACGAACAGAAGAAGTCAAAGACAAAGGTGAGACAGAATGGACGATCGTCATGCGGTGTCCAAGGGACACGGAAGCTTGGAATATACGGAAGACCAAGGTTGTTTGTTGCGGTGGGCCTCATACTTCAAGCAAGAATTAAATTCTCCAGATCAGGACCAGCAGAGATTGCAAATAATTTTCGCGATATCTCCCCCCCTGCCCAGGTGGTGGTGATGAGGCAAACACGTTGGCTGGTCCAGCAGCGGTCCCTGCCGCTGTCCCTGCCTCCCTGCCTCCCTGCCTCGAGCCTGCATAGCCCTGCGCAGCCCTGAAGAAATGCTGTCCAGTGGCCCAGCGGCCCAACGTTCCAGGCCCGGGCTGGTGCGCTCATCTCCGACAGTCGGGAGAAACCGGGACGCGAGTCTCTTACCATGGCACAGCGCCTGGGCCACATCGTCCAACTTCTGTAACCTCCGAACAGCCAACTCTGACGCTCACTGGGCTGATTTCCCAACTCTCACACGTATTCAGTGATACAAATTTCTGCGTCCTGTCTTAGATTTGCCCACGCTGACTCTGCGCTGTGCTTTGCGCCCCCCACGCAAGGGATTGCAAGCGCAATCTCGAACCAGCCTGCTGCACGCCCGTAGTCTCCCGATTCTGCCTGTCATGCCACGCCATCCTGAGGCTCGTCCCGCCTCGGAACCTGGCCGCCTACTTCCGTGTGTAATGGGTGTCAGTGTGTACCCAGCTCTTAGACGAGGCTGTAAGGCTGGCACAGAGTTTTGCCCGTACGATATAAAGCTGCCCTTCCTCTAGATGAGCCTCTGTTTATTCCCGAGGGCTGCTCATCATAGAATTCCTGTCCATCATACACCGCATTCATCGTTGTCATACACATAAACTCTTGATATATCAAGACCAAGACACTTCCAACTCCTACACTCGAGAGAGCCTCAGATCCGAAAAAGGAAAAAGCCAACCAACATAAACATGGGTATCCAAAATCAAGACTTCAACGCAATTCTCGATGCCAAGTGCCGAGGTACGTACACACAAACCAGAACCAAGCCCATGTTATCCAAACCATCCACTCTAACAGCCCAACCCAGAAACCATCGAGACCTCATATCCCCTATTCGTCATACATCACAACCATGTCACCACCATCCCCGACGAGACCATCTTCCATCTCTGCCGCTGCATCTTCGCCTCGGCCCTGCAGAAGCTCCCCGTGCAGAACCAGGACGCGATAGACTTCCTGTGCCTGCGCAAGATGCTCTCCTCCATCTTCGACGCGGACCACCGCGCCTTCGTCCTCGACGACCCGGACCCGCGCATCCTCGCCACCATGGACGCCGACGCCAAGGCCTGCATCTTCGCCCAGGCCGTCGCCGGGCTCGTCTACCTGCTGCGCAAGGTCGCCACCTGCAGCTGCACGCTGTCCCCCCAGGTCTTCGACGCCAAGCTGGAGCGCTTCGCCGCCAGCGAGGAGCGCAGGGTCATGCTCGACGCCATCGAGAAGAGCCCCGTCTGGTCCAACTGCTTCGAGAAGGCCCATATTGGCAACATGATCATGGACGCCATCAACGGCAAGCCCGTCGCCGGCGCGGACGTCGTCTCCGCCGCCGCAGACAAGAAGCGTAGCACCGAAGTGTCCGTCGTCGAGGTCCGCGCCGAGCAGGACCTGTCCACCAAGCAGCTGTGGGACGATGGCCCGCACCTGCAGAGGAATTTCGGCGTGCCGGATGTGTTCCAGATCATGGTTCTGAACTAGACTAGAGGGGAGTCACTGCATGAGTGAGCATGGGCGATCAAAGGACGCCTGGCTGGATCGGTATGGCGATAGAGGGCATACAGGCGTGGTTAAAGAAGGCGCACCGGCATGCATTGGTATCAGGGACCGGGGCGTCTTTCTGAATTTCCAGGGCATGGCGCTCATCTCCTACTCATGAGCATAGCGTTGATTTGGGATTGATATTGGCAGTGGCGTTTGGGCCTGGCATTTGGTATCTTTAGATGAATAGAATGCCTCTTTGAAGAAGAAATACATTCAACTCTTTAAAAGCCTTCAATCTGGCTACCTGCGTGACACCAGATGAGCATATTCTTCCCGTGAGCTGCCGGGGATGATGCGTCCGCTCAAGAGTATGCCGCCGTAGACTCTACTTGAATCCCGAGCGATTCTTGCTCTCATGCACCTGCCGAGTCACTCCCTCGCTTGCTCACTCACGCCTTCGCCGCCCCAGCCCCAGCAGCAGCAGGAGCTTTGCCCTGGGCTGCAGACTGGGCGGCGGTCTGGATCCTGATGATGTCGCCCTTGACGCGCTCAACCTTCTCCTGGGTCTCCTTGATCTGGGACTCCTGGCGGGTGATCTCCTTGTTGATGAACTCGAGGCGGCCGTCGACGGTGGACTCGGCCTCGACCTTGTCCTGCTTGAGCAGGGCCGGCCCCACGAGCTTGTAGATGGCCTCGTCGTCCTTGAGCTTGCCGAACTCGCTCTTGACGCCGCTGTTCTCCTGCCTCTGCGCCTCGAGCTTCTGCCGCGACGACACGACGGTCTGCATCTCTGCGAGGGGGCGTTAGCAGGGTGGCCTGGTGGTGAGGGGGGGGAGGTGCACACCAACCTGTTTGTAGCTTGGTGAACTCCTCTGAGAGGGCCTGGAGCTTGGCCTGTGGTGTCTCTGCCATTTTGGTAGCGATATGTGAGGTAGGATTGCGGAATGCAGGCAGGCTAGGTAGGTTAAGTGGCCGTTGAACAGTGAGATGCGGCTCAGGGGTCAGGTCAGGGTGAGTTTCGGTTCAGTCCCCCGGCGGGTTGGGTTGATGAGTTTTGCGATCTTTGATCTTATCTGGGGGGACCCTTGGCAGGCTTCAAACTGGTGTTGATGGTCTGCTCGATGAGAAAAGTTTGTATGGTATGATTGTTTCTGGTGCTTTGCTCTTTCGAGATGCAGGCAAGAGGTTATAATTGTATGTAACATGCATGTAATATCGAAGGGTTAATTGTATGTGTAGCAGACCTATGTCCCTGGGTGCTGCTACTCAGCAGTTAGGCACTCAATTCTTATTGTTGTCCTTGTATTATCCATGTCTAGAACTGTGCTGCTGCACTCTGGATCGGGCCCAGATCTGGTGCACATTGGCTTTGTGTCTAGGTGCTGTTATGGGCCCCCAATGCCCCAGTTGGAGCAGGTAACGTCACTTGCAAAGTCCAGCCTGCCCCAGGCGCCCACTGCCTCTCTGCCTCTCAGTCGTTCAACCCCGCCAATCCAAAAAGAATGGCGTGCCAAGGCCAGCAAGACTCCAGCTCGAAACGTCCACTCGTCCCAGGCCACTGACTGCTAGGTACTCAGTCTACTTACTCAAGTATCTCGGCACCTCCTCAACTGATTCCTCGGCCCTCCCTCCCTGTCTGCTGCTCGAGACACACACCCACGCCGATTGCGACCGCGACTGCGGCCATAGCTTACCGAGCCCACGGCTCTCGACTGTGAAATCCTGCCTGCAAGGTGTGGTGTCGACGTCCTCATTCAGCGGGGCCACTATCAGCTGCTGCTCCTCCACCTCCACCTCGTCTCAGTATCCTCCTCTACTCGCCTCCCTCCACCCACCTTCGAGCAGCGGTCACGACCGCAAAAAAATACACAACCAGCCCATCATGTCGAACACCGACTTCCTCGGTCGCGCAATCGACCAGGTGCGCAAGGCCATCGAGGCAGACAACGCCGCCCAGTACGACAAGGCCTATCAGATGTACTACCAGTCGCTGGAGCTGTTCATGCTCGCCCTCAAGTGGGAGAAGAACCCAAAGTCCAAGGAGATGATCCGCACAAAGACAGCCGAGTACATGGACCGCGCCGAGAAGCTGAAAGCACACCTGTCCGACGCGGACGCCAAGCGCAAAAAGCCAGGCCTCGTCGGCGCCAACGGCTCCTCCACCGGCGGCACTGCTAAGGGCAAGGAGAACGGCGAGGACGGGGCACCCGTCGACGAGGACAGCAAGAAGCTGCGCAACGCACTCGCTGGCGCCATCCTGCAGGACCGCCCCAACGTCAAGTGGGAGGACGTCGCGGGTCTCGAGGGCGCCAAGGAGGCCCTCAAGGAGGCCGTGCTGCTGCCCATCAAGTTCCCCCAGATGTTCCAGGGCAACAGGAAGCCGTGGAAGGGCATCCTGCTCTACGGGCCCCCGGGAACAGGAAAGAGTTACCTGGCAAAGGCCCTGGCCACCGAGGCGAAGAGCACCTTCTTCAGCGTGAGCAGTTCGGATCTGGTGAGCAAGTGGATGGGAGAGTCAGAAAGGTACGTTTAGTATCCCACTTCGCACCGGGAAATACGACTATATACACGGAAAAGGGGGCACAGAGCAGCTGGGGGGAGACACAATCCGCTGACATGACCCCCCCCCCCGGACAGGCTCGTCAAACAACTCTTCAACATGGCCCGCGAGAACAAGCCATCCATCATCTTCATCGACGAGGTCGACGCCCTGTGCGGGCCGCGAGGCGAGGGCGAGTCTGAGGCGTCGAGGCGCATAAAGACCGAGATGCTGGTGCAGATGGACGGTGTCGGCAAGGACTCGACGGGCGTGCTCGTGCTGGGCGCGACGAACATCCCCTGGCAGCTGGACGCGGCCATCCGGCGGCGGTTCCAGCGCCGCGTGCACATCTCGCTTCCGGACGTCGCCGCGAGGACCACCATGTTCAAGATCGCCGTCGGCGACACCAAGACGAGTCTCAAGTCCGAGGACTACAGGGAGCTAGCCAAGCTAAGCGAGGGCTACTCGGGCAGCGACATCGCCGTCGCGGTGCAGGATGCCCTGATGCAGCCCGTGCGCAAGATCCAGCAGGCAACACATTTCAAGAAGGTACGTGTCTGCTCCAAAACTGAAGCGATTTTGTTGTTCTCCATTGGCTAATCGGGGATTGGCGAACTCCAGGTAGACTTAAATGGCGAGTCAAGGGTGACGCCCTGCTCTCCGGGCGAGCCCGACGCGATGGAGATGACGTGGGAACAGGTCGACACAGAACAGCTGCTAGAGCCCATCGTCGACTTCAAGGACTTTGTCAAGTCGGTCAAGTCGTCGCGGCCGACGGTGTCACAAGAGGACTTGAAACGGAACTCGGAGTGGACGCACGAGTTCGGCAGCGAGGGTTCATAGTATTTTCTGCCGGACAGCAGTGATGGGCACCGAGGAAACCAGTCAAACTGACGGCCGCTGAGCGTGGCGGCTTCGAGCCTCGTTAACGCGTCATAAGGGTGAGAAGGAGCATGTGAAGTCGCGGTTGTGAGACCGAAGCGGGGCTGAGGCTGCGCGGATGGAGCATGCAGGCATACCTAGCTTGAGCGAGGAGAGTCGCGGGTGCTGAGCAGGTGGTGGTTGGGGGGCGGTATGATGGTGCTGATGTCGATATCAAATTAACTCAAGAAGCAAGCAAGCGAGCAAGCAAGCAGATGGGCGTCGCGGCGTTAATCTTCTAACAAAGCATAGGCAAAGGTCCTGGGCGGTGTGGTTGGATGGGCGGTGGGCGGATGGGAGGGTCGATACATTTATGGCAAGGGATTGACAAAACAAATGAGAGCAGTTTTGTAAAAATCCACAATAATCAAGTCTACCGTAAAAGAAAGTATGGTGAGCACCGTGTTGAGTGTTGATGTTTTGATGTTGAACTTTTTCACTGGTTTTTCCTACTGGAGCTACCATAACTAAACGGGTATGAAGTCTGATTGATCGCGTGATTGTACAACAGGACAAGTTCAACCCAGCCATTCAGTCAGTCAGTCAGTCAGTGGGCCAAAGCGGCCATGATGGTTAGAAAAGAGCACCGAGCCAAAAACAGATGCAAAAGAAAAATGGTTCCCTAAACTCCGATGCCGATTTTCTCCCGCGCGCCCTCGCAACTCCGAGACGAACCCAGGAACAGATCAATAAGAATGGGAAAAGTCCCCGTTCGAGCCCACCACAATCCTCAAAAGCCCCCGACAGCACCGTGTTTCTGTTTATTCTTAGATAATCCGAGCTCTTTCACGCGCGCCCGAGCCCTCTCCTCGCGCTTCTTCAGCCCTTTCAGGAGACGCTTTTGGGCGCTCAGGATCTTCTTGTGCGTGAAATTATGGGTCAGAGCTGGCAGTTTCTGGGCCTTTGCCTTCTGGGCCTTCTTGGCCTTCTTTTCCTGCCGCTCCTGCTTCAGCGCCTTTTCATCGGCAGCTTTCACAGTGCGGCCAGGGTCAGAGCCAGACAGACGGTCGGGAGAATCATGGACTCTGCCCTTTCTCTCCTGCCCGCCGGGCTTGGTCATTGAGGGCTCAGGTAGACTTTTTGGGATGTCAAGAGGCTTATTATCAAAAGAGGAAGCACCCTAGGCCTCGACCTTCTTGTCCTTCTTCTTCTTCTTCTCCTTCTTGTCTCCATCTGCCTCGCTCTTCTTCTTCTTCTTGTCCTTCTTCTCAGACTTTTCTGATGGCTCATCGATGTCCATGGCGTCGCTCTTGCGCTTCTTGTCTTTCTTGTCCTTCTTGGACTTCTTGCCTTCATCCTCCTGTGCAGGGTGGGCGTCGATCATCTCGGTGTCAATGGCAAGATCATCGTTGCCGTCTCCTAGGATGGCCTTCATGGCATTGCTCATTGCCTCCTCGTTCTTAATAGGCTTCTTGCCTGTAGCGTAGAACTCCAAGCGATCCTCAAGCTGTTGCCGCAGAACCTCACCGAAACGCGCCGAGGGGTGCTCTGAGAAGTTGTCGATACGGGATGCCATACTGCACTTGTTGGCCAGATATCTGCTGATGCGACCCTTGACTCGGGGACCGGCACGTCCGATGAAAGACGATTGGTAGATGAGACCGTACTTGGGTGTGGCACCCTTGGTCTTGAGAGCGCGGAAGAGAGCCTTCTCGGCACCGAGGATCTGGAGAGTGGAGGCAGGGTACTTGGCGAGGTTGGTGAGCGAGCCGGCATGCGAGATGAGACGTGCGGCAACGGGTGTTCCGAGGATGGTCTGCAGGTTGGGGGCGACCTGACCCATCTTTGAGTCCAGGGAGTTGGAAAGCGATTTCCGGTAGTCGGCCATCTTGGCGACAGAAGTTGCGAATGACTTGACCATGATCATGTCAGCCTCGGTGATATCGAGACCCATGGAGATCTTGGCCGCGTTGATGATGTCCTGCGCCTTCTCGCCATCGTCGTCAATCACAGCGGCGATGTCATGCAGCTTCTCATCACTGAGGGTCTTCTTGTCGCCGATGGCCAGGACTAGCTTGGCATAAGTGCCATTGTCGGAGACGATCTTGACCAGCTCGGGGAAATGCCACCCGTACCACTCGCGGACGCGCATGGAGCCCTGGTTGATGCCCTTGTCGAGCGCATCGAGAGTCGCAATGGCCTGGATGATGTGGTTGTCGTTCTTGTGCACGCTGAACTTGACCTTTGCGCGCGAGTAGGCGTGACCCATACCGAGCTGAGCACGGCCCAGATCACCCTCTTGGAGGCCCTTGAGCAGCTTCTCGGCGTGGACCCTGATACCGCGAAGGAGGTCCGCAACGACCTCCGAGGTTTCGCTCGTCTCGCACTCAACGCCCTTGAAGGTGGAGCTAATCTCGCCGGCAAGCTTCCTGTCTTGGACACCGAGGACGATCTTGGACTTGTTGCCGCTGGTCTGGGGAAGGTTCAATTCGAGGATGGACTTGAGGTAGTCGGGCATGATACCCTCAGAGACGAGGTTGACATTTTCAAGGGTCTCGGCGGCATTTCTATTATTTCATGTCAGCGACAATGTCTTACGGCAGCCGCATGGGTCCTTGGTCGCGGTGGGGTTGTATCCTACCGGTATGGGGTGAAGTTGACGAGCTTCACGTGTTTGCTGAAGGTCGCGAGGTTTTGGAGCGAATTCTGCACCTCTTTCAGCTGCAGACCGACGCTGTCGGCCTGGTTGACGACCTGGAAGACGGCATAACCAGCCGCCGACTCATACAGCAAGTAGTTGATGCTGGCCATCTTGGTAGGAGGATCTGGCAAGACGGCTGTGGCAGTAGTGCTGCTGCTGCTCTTGCTGACGGAGTGTGGGTGTCGTTGCTTAAAACAGCCGGCAGCTCTCGAAGGTTTTTTTTCCCTCGACGATCTGAAATTTCTCTCTACAGTTGGAGCTGCACCAAAGCAAGCGCACGCACCGGCCCATGGTGGGACATCCTTGTCCACGCTAGCCGCAAGAAGTGTACTAGCGGCACTCCACATCGACCACAGGTGGAGACGGTCTACTCAGCTGGCAGCCACCTGGCGACCACCAAAGCAAGTGGGCAGGTACGAGGTACGAGAGGACCCTTGGGCATCTGGATGTCGGCGGGTGGCACGGCTCCAGCAGGTGTCGTCATCTCCCGAACGGCCGCCCATCCATCAAGCTGGAGCTCCATTGCAAAGCAGCTGAGCCACTTCATCCTCTGTGTACCTGCTCCCTCCCCTACGTCCCTCCGCACGTTTCAACATCCGAGCTTCACTGAAGTAGACAAGAACAGGCTCTTGATTCATTTCCCTGTGGTGCATAACAACGGCTTTGGCTTCTACCCCACCATGTTCGGCAAACTCAAGGAGAAGGTGAAGCATGGTATGTTCCTAGCGGGTCCTCTCCAGTCTGTCTGATATATTGTCACATCATTTGCCGTCGCGGAAGCTGCCACCTCTCGCAGTGGATTGTTGGCGTTACATCTTGGGCCAGCCAACGGTCTGTCTCCCCTAGTCTGACAACAACCCGCATTCATGATCATCCATCCCCTAGTCATATCAATCGAACCAACGCCGTCCTTGTACTCCCAAGTTCCCGAGCACCCCTGACACAGCAGCTGTCATCGCCCCCCATCAGCCATGTTTAGCTGGCTAGCCGCCGCCCCTCCTTACCTTTATTAGCTACGCCACAGTACCTGCATGGCATATATCCATACCCGTTCATACGTACCCACGAGGCAGTGACCACTCCATTCCCTCTTCACCATGCCAGGTAGAGGCCGCCTATTATCCATAATATCCGTCTTCCTCCTCTTTATAAGCCTCGTCCTCTTCATCCAGGCCCAGCAGATACCTCTTCTTCAACACAACATTCAGGAATTTGACAACTCTTACTCCCAAGGCCTCAACACGCAGCACATACCAACCCCAAACAACACCATGGGCGGAGGACCAGTAACAAAAGGCTACCGAAGCGTGGCGTACTTCGTCAACTGGGCCATCTATGGACGCAAACACTTCCCGTGGGAGCTACCAGTCGAGAACCTCACCCATGTCCTTTATGCATTTGCCAACGTCCGGCCCGAGTCGGGTGAAGTGTAAGCTCTCAATGGCCTCGAAAGACTGACCTCTAAGACTAACATGTCCAATAGCTACCTGACTGACAGCTGGGCCGACTCGGAAATCCACTGGGATGGTGACAAATGGGAGGACGGCCACAAGCTCTACGGTTGCCTCAAGCAACTCAATCTTCTCAAGCGGCGGAACCGCAACTTGAAGATACTCCTCTCCATCGGCGGCTGGACCTACTCCTCCAACTTTAGACAGCCAGCATCGACACCCCAGGGCCGAGCCAACTTTGCCAAGTCAGCCGTTAAGATTTTGAAGAACTACGGCTTCGACGGGCTCGACATCGACTGGGAGTACCCACAGAACGCCTCAGAGGCGTCCGACTGGGTGGCCCTGCTCAAGGCCTGCCGGGAGGAGATGGATGCCTACGCCCGGACACTACCCCCGGAGCCAGGCCATGGCGGCCCGCACCACTTCGAGCTGACCGTGGCCTGCCCTGCGGGCCCCCAGAACTATGAGAAGCTGGACCTGCGCGGCATGGACCGGTACCTGGACTTCTGGAACCTCATGGCTTACGACTACGCCGGGTCTTGGGACCAGGTTGCAGGCCACCAGGCGAACCTGTACCCCAACCGGGCCCACCCCAACACCACGCCCTTCAGCACCGCCAAGGCCCTGGAGCACTACACGCGGCACGTGCACCCGTCCAAGATCGTGGTGGGCATGCCGCTGTACGGGCGCGCGTTCGAGAACACGGACGGCGTGGGGCGGCCCTACAACGGCATCGGCGAGGGCAGCTGGGAGCGGGGCGTGTACGACTACAAGGCGCTGCCGCTGCCCGGGGCGCGCGAGTTCTACGACCACGACAGCGGCGCCAGCTACAGCTACGACCCGGCCCGCAAGATGATGGTCAGCTACGACACCTTGCCCATGGCCAGGGACAAGGCCGGCTACATCAAGAACCACGGCCTCGGCGGCGGCATGTGGTGGGAGAGCTCGTCGGACCGCAAGGGCAGGGAGAGTCTGATCGAGAATGTGGTTGACGTGTTTGGCGGGCCCAACGCGCTGCGGAGGGATCCCAACCAGCTCGAGTGCCCCGAGAGCGAGTGGGAGAACCTGAGGAACGGGTTCAGGGAGTGAGGTTAAAATAGACACCACTGGCCACCGCAGTCTTACCAGCGAATGACTAGATGAACATTATCACTACTGTACATAGTCAAAATCGTTTATAGCCGAGCAATTCTCATTTTGAATCACGTTCAATGCCATCCTCCATCAACTTCAGAGCCAATCTTCCCGTCAGGTCCCAAGTCGTCGCGCAGAGCCATGTGCATCATGTGCGTGATTAGAAACTCGCGATGGCTCCATTGTACCCTCAAGAGTTCAAGTCGTCAACGGCAACTGCCCTGGTGATGTCTTATCCTGGATTTAACGGAAGCGGACGTATTGAAAACCTGGCGAGGGTGTCTTCCACGCCTCATGCACTGATGTTGTCCAAGACGGCTAGCAAAGTCATTACGTGGAAGGGATCGATCAGCAGGAGGCGATATGCTGCAGGACAGCATCCGTCAGCATGTCCACATGGCTGATTGTTGGGCGGGTATGAGCAAGTGGAACAGAACACATGTCAAGAGATCAAGAGGGGAGCAAAGACTAGTAGTGCTGTGATCATGACCTTCATTTTGGTAATTTTCCCACTCCGCCAGCCAGTTGACGAGTACTAGATGAATCTGTGATCACATCCGTGATGCCTTGTACCAGCATCAGAGGCCCATGAATGCGCGAGTGCAAGCTTTTCCCCGTCCCTGAAACTATAGAACCCGTTGCTCCGTCCGTCCGTCCATCCATGAAACCGAAGACACCGTTTATGAGGACTTCTCGAAGACGTAGGTGAGGTGGCAGCGACCGCAGTATTGACGGTCCTTGTGGGCAGCCATGAAGACACCAGCACCGCACTGGGAGGACAAAGTTGTTAGTCACCGAACAAACGTCAAAAGAGGTTGTCCAGGCAAAGCTTACAGTGTCGGCAGGGCACTCGCGTCGGAGGCGCTCGATCTTGCCGTCGCTGTCGACCTTGTAGTACTTGAGGACGGCCAGCTTGGTCTTCTTGCGCTTGTGCTTGATCTTCTTGGGGGTGGTGTAGACCTTCTTCTTCCTCTTCTTGCCACCACCACGCAGTCGCAGCACGAGGTGGAGGGTGGACTCCTTCTGAATGTTGTAGTCGGAGAGGGTGCGGCCGTCCTCGAGCTGCTTGCCGGCGAAGATCAGACGCTGCTGGTCTGGGGGAATGCCCTCCTTGTCCTGGATCTTGGACTTGACATTGTCGATGGTGTCGGAAGACTCCACCTCAAGGGTGATAGTCTTGCCCGTGAGGGTCTTCACGAAGATCTGCATGATGGGCTGTCCTACTGGCAGGAAGGAGGAAGGGTTAGAAAAAATCACGGCTGAGGCAGGCTGGATTTAAAAAGTGCAGGCTTGGGTGGGAATTTGTGATGTGGGGCGGGCGATAAGGGGACCCCAGTGGGAGAGAGCAAGCAATAGAGACGTCGAGCAGGCGAGTGAATCGCGCTGCCCTTGTTCTTCGCCTGCTGCTCTCAGTCCCAGCTGCAGCGAAAAGGAAAAATGTTGTGAGGGCGATCATCTGTCGCAAGCGACGAGACGAAGGCCGGGTATCATCGAAAGAAGCAGACAAGACGGGGAATCGGATGTGCAGTGACATGATTGATCATGAAGGGGACAAGAAAGCCGCGATGCCGTCGAGCAACAACATCATCGTGTTCGAGACGTACCTAGGGTATTATCCCGTCATAAGCCAGTCCCGTGAAGATGTTCGTTGATGGAGAAGGGAGGGAAGAAATCCAGAAAGCGTCAGCGATTTGAGGTTTGAGATTTTTGGGGGGTTTGGGCCGCTGCAGGCCAGTTTCTGCGCTTCGGCCGGTGCAGTCAGGTCTGCGCCAATCAGCAACAGGCTAGCGGGGCCCTCACGTGACTGCCTAGGGCACCCTCGCCAAGCTAACAGATGTTAGCCTGCAGTCTCTGCAGAGTCTGTTAAGGCCTGGGATTTCCGGTTGTGGACCGCCATTTTTGCTTGGGGACTGGCCGCTGCAGCAGAGCAAACCTCGATTAAATTTCCAGAGATCGCATTTCAGATCTCCTCTCTCCCTCCTTCATCGACCAACACTTACGATTTTCGTCAGCCAAAAGTCGTCAAGATGCCTAAGAAGGTATGAATCGCACCCACACACAGCCTTCCCAGCGTTCAATACTGGTCGTCACGATAGCCTGGAGGGCTTGATGCCACAGACGGATCATGTTTGCTTCTCCGCCTGGACATCCGCTCTGTCGCGATCTCCCCCTCCTGGCCCACCGACACCAGTCCCGCTCGACAAATACCCAACCGCGCATATGCTGACCTGCCATTCCTCGAACAGAGAAAGAACAATGGCCGCAACAAGAAGGGCCGCGGCCACGTGAAGCCCATCCGTTGCTCCAACTGCTCGCGATGCACCCCCAAGGACAAGGCCATCAAGAGATTCACCATCCGCAACATGGTCGAGTCTGCTGCTATTCGTATGTCACGACAATTGGGCTGCCTCGACCGCTGCTACAACCCTCATGCAACCCCCCTTGGCCGTGTCCAACCTGCTAACAAATGTCTTCCACAGGTGACATCTCTGACGCCTCGGTCTTCGCCGAGTACACCGTCCCCAAGATGTACCTCAAGCTGCAGTACTGCGTCTCTTGTGCCATTCACGGCAAGATCGTTCGGTACGTTTGTCCTGGATGGAGGACAACTGCGTCTGGCGTGGAGTCACAGCGGCCCTATGGGCAAGCAGTGCACCTGCCAGACACAGGCGGCTGAGAAGAACCTTGGCGGCAAACGGACTCCATCACCATCCCCCCTTCCGACCGAAGAACAAACATGCTGACAGAAACACCAATAGTGTCCGTTCGCGTGAGGGTCGTCGCAACCGCGCTCCTCCCCCACGTGTCCGATACAACAAGGACGGCAAGAAGATCACTCCTACCCAGGGCGCCAAGACTTCGTAGGAGAAGCCTAAGCAGACCACTGGAGGCTGGTAGTTGATTTCTCTCTCCGCCCGCATCCCACAAAAATCATTCGTGAGGGTCAAGGGACACGGGTTCTGGCATGGAAAAGGCAATTGCACGACTTGCATGAAATGAATGCCACGGTACGGTTGAACGGCGTCTGGGGCCGCTCTCCTCTATAGGTAGCGAGCGGCGTTAGGTTCAGATTCCCGTAGCTTCCGTCAAAATCAATGACACTTCGCCCGTGTGGGCAAAAGACAACTGCTCCCACTCTTTCTGTTTCCCTGTTGGAGATGAAAACGTACTACTCGAACGCGGGCTTGGGTCTCGAAGCCATTTATCCCACCCTCTCCAGTTCGAACAACAACCTCCTGGTCTTGGTATCGTCCCAGGTCCTCTTCCCGTCATGGACACTCAAGCCCTCGTCCAGCTCAGCCTTGACATCCCATCGCGTTCCCGTCCGGGCCTCAACATTCTTGATCAGCTTCTTGAAACTCGCGACGTTGTGCTTGCATGTCCCCCTGTTCGCGCCGCCCACAGTGAGCGTCTGCGTGACAACCCCATCCAGGTTGCCCGTAGCCTGCCCAATGATCAGCACGCCGGGCTCGTCGCGCAGAAGGGCGACGGCGTTCTCAAATGTGGTGAGCTGCTCCTCCCACGTGAATAAATGCAGGATCATGCCCAGCTGCACGACCCTCAGCTGGCCACGGAACCGCCCCAGCGAGGAAGCGCCGCCCTCCTCGCCCAGCGGCGCGAGGATGTCCGCCTGCACCGCAGTCACGTCCGCCGGCGAGTCGCGGAAGAGCTCGTAGCCCAGCTGGGTGAAGGTAGGCGACGGCTCGGCGGTGGCCACGGAGGTGGGTGGCGCCCCGTCGTGGATCAGCTTGCGGACGTCCTGGCCCAGGCAGGCGCCCACGTCTAGGAAGGCGGGCGAAGAGGACGAGGACCTCAATATCGACAGCAGGCGCGCGTAGAGGTCCCCGCTCGGCCGGCTCGAGAGGTTCAGCTCCAGGAAGCGGAACTGGCCCAGGCACGGGTAGTGGTGGACCTCCCAGGCCTTGTTGCGCTGTGTAATGGGGCGGGCTGCTGTCAGTGGCAACTTGGTATCTGGGGGTGGTTTGCAACACGGAGGGAGGGGCCGACGCAGACTCACGATCTGGATGACGTGCTCGTCGACGTCGGCTGCTGGGATGTGGCTGTAGTTCACCAGCAGGTCCCGGAACGCGTCTGGCACGACGACGGTCTCGTCGAACCAGAGCTTGCTCCGCTCGGCGGTGGCGGCGGGTCGTTGCCCTGCCTCTGCTTTGGGCCCGGCATCGTCGCCGGTGGGCAGGCCCGAGGAGTCCATGTTTCGAGCCGGGGGCGTCCGGCTTCGTTGGGATCAGCCGGGGCGGCGCGGAGTTACCGTGGTCTTGGCCGGAAATTCGGGCCGCTGGGTGATTGCTTTCCCTTTGGACAGATCAACTGCGGCAGCCCGTGTTTCCCGTCGTGCATGAGAGTTGCGACGGGATGATCACTTCGCTCAACTGCCGGAGTACTATCGTCATTTTATCCAAGGTTCTCGTCTAGTTAGTGTCCGCTCGCGTCACACGTCTCAACTCCTCCCGCTTGCAATAGTCCGGTCTCTAAAGGATGCCCAGCCCTACGCATTTTACATGAAAACATATCTGCCGTCCTACTGCTTCCAGAAAAAGGCCCGGTCTTTCCAAACACACTTCTCAAGGAAATACACGGCAGGCGGCTCCGATTGGCCGCCAATGTCAACAATGTCACCTACCTATATGTTCAAGTGAGGAAATTCATATGCCGTAGCCGAGAACCCCGGAGGTCTCTCCGTCATTGCTTCTACTTGTCACCTGCATAGGCTTCAGTTTCTGCTCCCCTGTCCAGTGACGCGCTGTCGCCATTGCAACGCCAGGCAGCTTCATGAGGGAAAGGCTGTCGCAGAATGATGAAAGCTCAGCTTTTAGACTGCAGGTGGAAGGGGAACGATCATCGAAGTCCTATCTCAAGAACTGCCAGCGGTCTGATATGGCAAGATCGGCCCCGGGCAGCTGGGTTGTGGACGCTCCGCCTACTGAGGCGTGTTTTCAATAATCCATGCAGGACATCCAAACAGAATCCGCCACGGACGTTTCTCTCTTGGGAAAGTCCGTTCGCCCGTAGGTCTTGTTCGTGCTGTTCGCCATTGACCCTATGGTGCTTCGGAGTTTCGGAGTATTGCAGTCGTAGAGGATTATTGTGTGGATTATATAGCCGCCTGAGGCTAACAATTCCCGTCAGACTGTTGTTAAGTCAGTTTTATCTCCGTCTCACGTTCCAAATTGAAGGCGTCTACGGGTCTTGAGGGCCCCAAGGTCCTATCAAGACACTCCCTCTATGTCGTAGAGACGGGCCGTAAGACACTTAGCTAGGCATCGGAGAGTGTGCAATGATTTTGCAGAGATTATTTCAAAAGTCCCAAGGACTCAGCCGGGGCAAAAACGTCCGGCAAAGATTGTGCGGCAGTAGCTTCCGAAGCCATTGCCAGCAGGGGGCATATCGGTTACGTGTGCTTTGAATATTTCCATGTGGAAGAATTGTAGTCCTACTTTTTCCCAAACGTAGACTTAGCTGTAAGTAGGTGCCTCAGGCAAGCCTCTGCTTTGTGTCCTGTTTCCTTCGCACATAGCACGTGGTCAGTATATTTCCAATAACCTTTTGAAGCGATTCACAAAAAGATTGCAACTAATTAATGCCGCCGGAGGCCTCATGGAGATGTAGACTGGCAAACCCTTTGGGCAGTATATGATAGATACCTTTTACCATGAGATTACGAGTCTGAGTGAACGACACGTCAATCTGTCGACCGTTTGACAGCCCCGAATGGCCGGATAAATCATGCACGTTTAGCTTGCTGGAGTTGTCCAGACCTGGCGATACAAGGGAGTTGAACTAGGGTATGTTGACAAGTGCCAATCATGTTCAGCCGTTATACACGTGTACAGCCTGTGTGCTATTTCTGTATTATCATTTCGACTCGGTGCCAGTACTTTTCCTTCGGCCTCCACACAGTTAGATTGCGATCTGCGCAGTTTGAACCTTGCCTCTTTGCATCTAACGCATGGCGAGCTGAAGTTAGCCTTGTCTGGCCTTGGAAGTACAATCTACCGCCTTGTCGTATCTATTCAGGAAGGTCGATGGATCTTGGTACAGTCTCAAAATTCCTCACATCGTAACTCGTGCTCCGGCGGACGGGCTGAGGAAACCTCCGCCGGCGCCGAGGGATTCCGAGTGATCTTGCTAGACTACTAAACACGGAGTGCATCGAGGCCCAAAGAACAACTTCAGGCTTGGATGAGCGAAGCCCAAATATCTGCTGTAGCGGCCTGAATGCGTGGACACACCGGTCGGTCTCTGGAATACAACACGCTGAGACACCATCTAGACTACCACGCGCGGCCCAGCATCCCATGCGAGTGGCCCATCGAGCGCCGTTGTGTTTCCATGGGCACCGAATGCATGGTATCCTCCAGATTCCTGTCATACTCGACGCACGTCTGACGGGGTGGGATTAGCCGCGCATCTCCCGACGAGATGGGTGCAAAGCGGTGCCCAACGGTTGTTCGGACGCCTCGCTTCGCATCTCAGCCGACTTTGATGAAGGTGGTGGTATTGCAAGGGCCCCAAGGGACTGACCAGTGTGCAGTGTCACCATAGGCCGACAAATCGCAACAGCTCGAGCGTAGCAGCGGAGTCAGTACACGTGTTGTATGTCTGTATCAGTCTGCGGGACCCCCAAGCAGAGGCTAAATGCCTTGCCAGTCAGTCGTCCAATCCCATTAGCTGAGCAAGACAAACCACCCGCACGGCTTCGTCTAAAAGCGTCAGCTACGGAGAATAAAATCCTTGGCGGCTGTTGGACTCATGTTGGGAACCTCTGCGCCATTGGAGGAAGGGGGGGGGTGGTGGTTGGACGAGTCCAGCACACCCAAATCGGTGCGAATAGAGTTCACAGCTGGGACGTGAGGGTCTCGGCTCTGCACATGCACACGCAGGGGTCCGGACCCAGCGAGAGCCGTCAGAAGCGACAGTCAAAATCCTCGGTGAGTTTTGATCCTGGGTTTGAATCTACGTAAAAGCGATGGGACGAAAGAGTAATTTGATGGGCCCAGATCGAGGAGCAAAGACAAACCGCAAGTCATGAACTGCCCACAGGCCCTTCTTGCATATTCATGTGCTTCTAAGTTGCGTCTGTCAATTGTCAGACTACTCAAATGCTGCCACACCAGAACTCGGTCCTTCTACTAGCACTCGAGTTGCAATTAGTGTGGTATATCGGGACGGAGGTTAGCAGCCATGTCCCCTCTATTATCGAGTAAACTCCCGTTCATATATCGACACGCCGGCAGTGGAAAGCCATGCGGACCGCTGTCTAGCGAGAAACTCAAGCACGTCAACCAGGCCCTTGAAAGCCAAGGGTAGGCATGAAAGCCCAGGGTACAGTCCAGGTTCCCGCTACGCCTTACCTGTCGGGTAATTTTGCCTAGCGGCTACGCGCACCTCTCCTGCGTCGGCACATGCGGCATAACCATCGTCCTAATAAGGATCTCCTCATGTTGCAGTTGCAGGCGCCCGCACTCGCTTGACCCCAGACAGCGGGAAGAGAGCCCTAGTTCGATAATTAAGGTTCAGCCACGGAGACCGGTGTGCGCGTACCTGCCTCTTGACTATGTCATGCTACCTCCCCAGATGGACTAGTCTGCCCAGCGCAACGATTGAGGCTTGTAGCAAGTTAAGCGCATGCCGCGCCGGTTGCCTACTGTACTGGCAAATCATGGGGGAGCTTTGGAAGATAGCGCGGTGCGGACTGTTTGATCTCCAGACAAACAATGTTGGCGCCATCTCCCGAGTGTCAGCCGACGGATATATTGTGAAGGCGTGGGCGAGTGGGGCCGTAGAGGTTTATCGCACTCACTACCTGAGAAACGCGCACCGTAACTGTTCCGAGGGTTCGCCGTTCGCCAGTTGCTCTCTGCAAGGCTACGGCGAAGATCAGCGTATGATGGGCGAACAGATCGTGTTGGCCAGGTCTCGCGCTTATGCAAGGGCCCGCCCATGATTGCGAACAGGGCACAAATTTGAACTGGCTGATAGTTTCCGAGGGGGCCCGGGACGACTAGTCCATGATTAGGCGAGCGTCAGAACCGTTTCCACTCTTTTTTTGTGTGTGGGTAGGCAATTTTTGGGACCATCTCGATTCCCATGCAAGCCATTCACTAGGCGATCTTTCGCTACCGGGAAAGCCAGGATGCTGGGTTGCCCAGAAGGATCATTAAGCTGCGGGCCAAAACCATGCCGCCAGATGGCCGACCGCAGATCCTAATATGACGCCGCGCAAGTCTCGACCCTCAACTTTAAGCCTTCAATAAGATTGTGCACGCTCCAAAGCATGGGATATTATGGAATTCCCATCCAGCGACTTGTAATTCCACATGCATAATGGGCGAAGGGTGGGTGTGGGAAGCCGGAGCCTATTGCTCCGTGGAGGGCTCGCACGTCCACCTCCGCTCCGCTGGCTCTTGATAGAGTGTCTGTGCCCTGTCACTGCATAGATGCCGAGATCAAGCGCCTCACTGACTAGAAACCAGCGACACCCTGCACCTGGACTTGATCGTGTGCCTCAGCGTCCGCGGACAGGTGGAGCGGATGGGGAGGAACTCGTGTCGACGAGCAGGATGTCGAGTCGCTGTAGTCCTAGTGATGCCCGTCTCCTTGGCTGTGACGAATAAGTTGATATGCGCCTCAAGGGCCGGTCGACGGTGACATCTGGGGCAGGTTCATTACCACAGCGGGGGAGGCAGGGGATTGCAAGGGAAGCGTTGGGCAGCCCCACGTTTGACAGTGGTTTGAGAGGTTCGAATAAGCTTTGGCAGGGATCCATTGTTTCCTGACGAACCCTATTTTGCGGGCCGGGTTCATGGAGCCGCAAACGCCTGAAATTTCTTCTCATTTCTGCGGCGGGGCTCGGCGCCAGGTTCTTGGGAGGAAGTCCGAGCCTGAAGCCTGCACCTGAGCCTTTTACTGGGCTTTTTTTTTTGTTTTTTTGCCTGAGCCCCCGCCTGACATGACAGCACGGACACGCCCGCTTCGTCCAAACCTCCAGGGCGAGCAGTCTAAGGTCGTCTGATGGCACGCAACGACGCGCCTTGGGAGGAGGCTCTGCGAGCGAGCTGAGGGGCTGAATGAACATGCTCGTCCCCTCAAGCCCGGCCATCCCTGGGAGCCGAGCTTTAGCCAGCCTCTCGGATTCATCGCTCGTTCGCTCGTCACGCAGAGCCCAGCCCGTCTGTGCCTGGAAAGGAGGAGATTGAGATGGCCCAGCTACGCAGCCAAGCCTTCTGGGCCTTCCAGCCCTGTCCGCCCAGCTCGACGTCTCCCCCACGCCGAGGTCAGCTATTCACGGCGGTCAGGGCGTCGGTGGGTCGCCTCGTATGCAACCACATGGGTGGTGGAGCCATCAGTCCCGATGAGGAAGACCTCACCCCTCGATGGAGGCCGTGACGAGTCGATCCAGCGCCCTCACCCCTCCTCGACCGGAGTCATGCAAGGGACCGAGGCGGCAGTGTTGTGAGTGGGACTTCGCGAGTGGTAGTGAGTGTGAGAAACGAACTGCCGCATGCAACACCCGCTGTAAGTGACTGCTGCTATAGCCTACACCACACTGTCGAAACAAATAGTGGGCCGCGGAGGAGCCCCGCGGCCAAGAGTCAGGCAGAGCAGTGTATCTAGAGGATGATTACAAACCAGACCGAGGCCTTCTGGCGACAGTATTTGCTGCATGGCCAGCCGAAGAGAATTCATCACTCACGAGGCACAGAGAAAGTATCGGCCCGCCAGTCTGGTCGTCACAGCGCAAGATGAACCGGACGGCAAGTACCCGAAAACCAAGCACACATTTACACCTCTGGAGTAGCCATGCTAGCTCGCGCGCGGACAGCCGCGGCGTGAACAGCGAGGACGGAGGAGGAGGTTGATGACGAGCACCTCCTCAGCGAACCAACGCCCGCCGTGAGCCCGACATCATCGCCGACTGGGGGGCTTTGAAACCACAAAAACAACAGACTTTGCCTATGCCGCAACACCTCAGCACCACGCGATAGGCCGGCGAGTGTCCTAGTCAGCCTCGGAGATCGAGGTTGCACCTGTTTCAGGACCCCTGGTGCGGAAAGTCAATACTTAAGGTCTACCCCTGGAGCGCGCCGAGGCCGACATGTCCGTCCGCTGTCAAATGAACTGTCTTGGCCCAGAAGAAACGAAAACGAAACTTTATTCCACAGCCTTTTCCTCCTTGGGCGGCCAATGCCAGGCACATCTGCTACCTCTGGTGGCTGTTGTAAGCGACAGCGTCTGACCTGGACGTCTGAGAGCATACCTCCCTCCATAATAATGCTGCTTGCTCTACCGCCTGCCTCAATTCATCCCACCTGGGCCCTCGAGTACGACTATACCGAGATACTGGCAGAAAGCGATCACTAGCTTTCGGGTCGATGCTGCCGACTCGACAAGGTTCCAGTGGCCACGTCCAGCCTGCAAGTCATCATCTTGCTTAAAATGAAGTGAAAACCCAACCTCTTCTTCCTGGCCTATCCTGTCCTATCCTTTTTTCGCCATCATCGACGCAACGAATGACCACAGGCGCGTGATATCCTCTACATATACCCGGTGGTCCTCACCACTCGACTGTCCCAACCCAGCAGCAACCTCATTGAACGCGCGTAAACGAAGCCCAGCATGGCCAAGGAAGTCGAGATGACCGACACGGAGCGGGCTCTCTTCGACTGGGAGTCCACCGTCGACAGCATCAACAAGGAATCCATCGCAGACCACCAACCTTCGCAGGCAGAGACGACCTCATCCACTCGTTCAAAGCGTGAATCCATGGACATCGCTGGCAGTGTCTTCCTCATCGCTTCCGACGGCCGCCTGCTCAGCCTGCCCATCCCGAGCGAGTCGCCCTCCGACCCCCTCAACTTTGAGCGTCGCCGGCGGCTGTTTATCTACGCTATCCTGTTGATCCATTCCGCAACATGCATGTTCTCAATTCAGTCTCCGGGAAAACCTATACAAGGCCTTCCTTCACACTTTCACCAAAGAGGTATGATATCCTCGGGGAAATATGAATCCCACCAAGACAGCTAATGAGATGCTAGGATATGGCACCATTCTCGGTCGAGACCCTCTCCGGAAGCCCGACGTTGATGATGGGACTGAGCTTCTTTCTGGATCCCCATGTCGGTGGCCTTCGGCAGGAGGCCACTCATTATCCTGTCAGCCGTGATGATGTCCGTGGGAAGCGTGTGGGCTGGTTTTACCAACAATTATCACCAGCTTCTTGCGGCCATATGCATGATGGGTCTGGCCGGCGGAGCTACACTGAGCACCGTATGTCATATCTCACACTACAGCAGATTTCAATGATACTAACCAGTCTCATAGACCATCCTCCAACTCATCGACATTACATTCATCCATGAACGTCCCCTCGCCATCGCGACCTTTTGGTGCGGAGGCGGTGGCCTACCACTCCTTGTGCTCGCGAACCTGCCACTGATGGTCGATGTGGGCAAGGACTACCACAGCGTCTACAGAGGACTCGCCATCCCGAGCATAATCATGCTCATCGTTATCTTCTTCTTCGTCCCCGAGACGTACTTCCTCCGCCCACCGGTCGCCTTCGACGGCCGCGTCCTGGTCCAGTCGGGCACGGAGAAGGTCAGGATGTACGAGGAGTGGTGGGACGTGCCCGGCGGCGACAACAGGTCCATCCGGGCCATGGAGAACGGCCTCCCCAACCTGACCGACCTGCCCGTGCACACGTGGCGGGTGACGCCCCTCCGCATCTGGAAGCGGTCCGTCTGCGAGCCGCGGGCGGCCGTCGCGAGCTTCATCCAGATCTTCCTCTGCGTGGCGAACCCGCTCGTCTTCTGGGTGACCCTCCTCAACTCCATCAACTTCGGCGGCATGATGTCCGTCGGCGTCGGGTTCCCCGTCCGCATGGCAGAGGCCCCCTACCACCTGCCCGCCTACGCCGTCTCACGCGTCAACTTCTCCGCCGCCTCGGGCAGCTTCCTCGCCCTCCCCGCCGCCTACTTCATGCTCAACAACGTCATGAAGCGCCTCACCCTCCGCAACAAGGGCGTCCGCCACGCAGAGTTCTACCTCCCCGCCTTCATCCTCCCCGTCGTCTCGGGCGCCGTGAGCGTCTTCATCTACGGCTTCGCCGCGCGGGACAAGTGGCACCAGGCCGCGTACCACGTCGCCTACGGCCTCAACGCCTTCAGCTACGCCTCGGCCAGCGTCGTCAACACCATCTGGGTCGTCGAGTCCCTGCCGCAGTGGGCCGCGGCCGGCATCGCCGTCGTCGGCGGCGTCAGCTACGTCGCCAGCTACGGCATCACCGCCGCGCTGCCCATGTGGAACGCCGCTGCCGGCTACGTCGCCGTCAACTCGGCCATCGGCGTCGCCATTATGACCGTCGGCCTCTTCGCGATCCCTATTGCTTTCTGGGGCAAGAACGTGCGGCAGTTTATTAGTGGGCGGTTCTCCGCCTACGAGGGCGGTGCCCTGAGGCCGCAGTAAATCAGAGACAGTGTGAGAGCGAGAAAAGAGAGAAATTACAGCCAGAGGCGCAGATCGGAGACTGAATCGAGTCTCCCCCTATAAAGATCAACGGGATACCTGGACAGGGTGGATGGGGGCGGGTCGGGTCTGAACACAATTTGTCAAATGGAATTTAAGCGATGGGAAAACCTGGCTAGGTGACTCCTGTGGTGTTGGGGCTTGGAGGTTGACACTGGTTTCCTATGTAGTACCTGCCTACAACAATATTAAGCGCCACAGCAGGACCTGTATTGCTGTGCCTGGTACTTAATTGTTAACTACTATTCTCTCATCGAACACTTGGCTTCATCAACAATGCTGACATCGTGATCCAAGCAATGCATGGATTGCTGTGTCACTGATGACCCTGCTCCTTCTGACCTGGCCAGGCTTGTGCTCGTATTCTAGGTAACACATCCTCCTTGTCAGATGGGTAGTTCAAGCAGGTCGAACCATCCTAACACTCGAACTCTAGCTTGGCGACACTCCGTGAGCCGTTATGGCAAGCACCGAGGCCGATGTAGCTTTCATCCCTCTTGCTCAGCGACGGCGCAACATTTACTTTGTCATTTCTTGGGCTGGCTTGTAAGAGAGAGCCTCGTTCAATGCGGGTGAGAATTTTGAGGGGACCGTACAAGTGCTGCCGCAACGTCGCGTGGGAAGTACTTGACGAGTATCAATCACGGAATAAGCAAGAGTGTATGGACGAGCATGTTCGATAACCCCATATGAATGGGATGTTTGAGAGGATAGAAGAAACGTCTGATTGAGCTCAATTCTTCTCTAGGAAGAGAATGTGAACTTCTGGCCTTGAAAATTCTTCTAGTGTCCCGTAACTCTGTTCGAGCAGCCAGACACTGTCGACATTTGCGTAGCATCCAGCAGAGAATTCAGAACTCAGAGGTGGTCCTATGCCACACTCAACCTGGATTCCCTGTTTAAACTGTCAGTTTCATAAGCTAGACAAGTGAGCAGCATGGAGAGATGGTGTAGTGGTATGTATTTGCATGCCACTATTACCGTCAGCTCTGGCGAGGTCATGTTGCAGTGTTCAGATCGTCGCTGTGGGATTATTTTTTGCCCTTTCTGCCTTTTGTTTTTTTGGTGATCCTACGTCCACTGCTCTTTAATTCGCCTTTAGACTCATGTTGGTGATTGTTTTTTTGTAGAAGATTACATATATTTCAAAGATGCAATCCAAGAAGTGACGTCTCATTCCCTTATTGAATTGATCATGTGCTGCAAAAGGGCTCTTGGAAAGGGCACGTTAAACATTCACACAGTAAATATTAGCGTCAGCCGTTTTCAATGAGGTTGAAAGTACTGTGGGTTGAAGTAGCACTTTAACTGCTTTCGAGTGACTGACTTGGCCAAAAGTGCTAATTACTTCGACTTGACCCAAACGTATTCTGTCTCGCCCCGCCATAACTCAGGTGTTTTGACCTGTTCTCGAGGCTTTCATCACCTGGGCATCTACCCTACCACCAAAAAATCGTTTCTGGAGTCGAGCTCACAGAGAGATCTGAGATCACTTCCAACCATTGAATCACGCATCCAAGCATGGTTCCATCCTTTTGTTAGCCCTGTGGTATGCCATCGCTCACCCAGCCATCCCAAAACTCGGTCGGCCGCACTACAGTCCCACTTTGATTCCTACCACCTTTCGCTGTTATTTTTGACAACCCTTCAGCACACCAAGCTTCACTCAACCGTTGCGAGACGCGACTCGCAATCCACCACCAAAATGCCGAAACGTTCTTTTGACGAATGTTTTTTCCACTTCGAGGCGGACGCCGCTGAAATGGGCAAGATCGACAACACCATTCGCCTTGCCGGTCTCAAACTCCCCATGGGCAAGCGCGTGATCGGAAGAACGCATGCCGACTTGATCGTAGCTCTTGGAGCATCTGACATCGGCCGCAACTGCACTGGCACTCAGCTCCTGGTCGTCGCACGTCTCTGCATCCTCTACGAGGCTATTGTCGAGACCTACATCAAGTACCCCTACCTTGACATCAACAGCGACTACTTCTTCGAGGAAGCGCTCGCGGGCATCTCAGAGAATTACCCCAGCATTTCGAAGTACTTATCCACCTCCTCGCTTCGTCAAGCCATCGAGATCTACCTCCTAGCCTTCCACCGCAGTGGATTGAAGCCCACCAAGCCAAACGCCAACAAGAAAGACCGATGCTGTGCAGGATACTCCCCCCGTCCAGCCTCATGGTGCCCAGCCTAATGACAGCGGCAGCGAGACATTCATCGGTCAAGACCTCATGGAGCCCTCCGCGGCTGCTACGCACAAGAGAGCTCGCATCCAGCTGGAGGAGCTTGTGAGGGACTGGATGGCGGTCCGCGCCATTGCGCGACGCAAGCAAGCCAAAGCCGACAAACCCAAGACCGCCGCCGTTTCCTGTCCCGAGCAGCAGCCCGGCGAGTCCAACAAGGCGTACATCCTGCGCCCCCAAAAGGAATGCGAGTGTTACGTCGAGGAGAACGAGATGTACGAAAAGGAAGTGTCCAGGGAGACTAAAAAGCACGACGATCTCTACGATGATTACAACGTGCTGTCAACCACGACAACGAGCTGCTCAAGGCCGACAGCGAGTGGCGGAGGGAGGAAAGTGAGATGCAGGAGAAGCACGTCGCGCGCATCGACCGAATGCAGGACACCATTGACAGGCAAAGCGACGAGATCGACGAGCTGAAGCAGCGGCTGAGCGTGGCCGGCGACAGCTGGGTGAACGCCCATGGCCGACCAGAACAGCGCGGAGGCTTCCCCGGAGCCCGTGGAGGCCCCAGAGGCCGTGGCGGATTCACTGGATTCCCCGGCTTCTAATGGAGAAGTCCCTTGGAGGCCCACGTGCTCACGCTTGTCTGCGGTTTGGACTGATCAGAGGACAATGGCTGGGTGAGAAGACCCGAACAAGTCTCGAGCAAGAATTGGGCATCTGCTCTGTGTTGAGGGCTGGAGCTATGCATGCGATCTCGGCTTTCTAAACAGGACCACATCGTCTCGAGCCCATGATCAGTGGGATCGGTTTCTGTGGCAGGGAGTAACACGGAGGATGGAAGGGTAAACACTATGTTCGGTGGATGTTCTGGGCCGGCCTTTGAGGCATCATGTCGGTTGTCTGGAGACAGTTGCGCCGGAGGATCAATCGATCAAAGTACAGTCCCATTAGGGGACAGTCTCGCTGGATGATCAGGTCTGGAGAGCCCTCCTTTACACTCGACAAGGCGAGATAGATATCGCTGGGCACCAAATAACCCCTTAATACACAAGATTTTGTCATGGAGGTTGAATGTTCTCAATTTCTTTGATTACTATCCTTTCTGTATCATCTTCGTCCGTAAAACCGCCGACCCTACACGCCGCGTATTCCAGCCTAAGCTGACACAGATATTCGCCCAGATCTAGAGCACCCCAGCCACAACAGCCATGACCCCCGTGTAAACCGCAACGCTCATAAACAAGTCCTTGCTATAGACCCCCGCGGCGCGGGCCCCCACGCTGCCAGACTGCACGACCGATCCAGCGACAGACATGCCCACCAGGACCACGACGATCAGGCGGCCCACGAGCCCCGGGATGGTCGAGAACGTCAGGATCGGAAGCAGTACCGCCACGGCGAGGGCGATGGCCACGTGAAGCACCACCGGCGAGCCCTCGCCCACCTCCTTCTCCCCAGGGTTGCTGATGGCGGTGGTTGGTGGCTGGTCGACTTTGATCGTTGGGAGGGCTGCGGAGACGGCGGCAGCAGCGGGCGCGGTGACATCCGTCTTGCCCACGGGGGTGCTCGACCGAGGCGTGAAAGTCCGCGGCGTGAGCGCCTCCGAGCTCGAGCGCGGCCGCGTCCCCCTCGGCGTGGGCAGCGGGGCCGAGCCCAATCCCCCCAGGCCCGGGCTGGGGCTGTGGCTGACGCTGCTGCTCCCGCGGAGGTGGCCGCGGTTGGTGCGCCACGAGTTGCCGTGCATGGTGCCGGGGATAGGGACTGGCGAGGACGGCTCGGGCTCGGGGAGGATCCCCGCTGCGGACACGGATGCGGGCGTGGGCGCGGATGCGGATGCGGAATCGGCTGCGTCGAGGGTGGACTTTAGGGCCTGGTAGTAGTGGTGGTCGCGCGCGGCCGCCGCAGCAGCAGCCATAGCCCCGCTGGATAAGGGGCTCGGGGCGCGGCTTGGTGGTGGTGATGATCGGGTTGGCGGAGCTAGGGTGACGAGGTCGTCGGTGGAGTCTAGGAAGCGCGCCTCGATCTCAGTGACTGGTTGGTGGGTGAGGTAGCGGCGGTATTCGTTGACGTCGGAGGGGGATGGCGATGGGATGTCTCGCGTGGCTGTGAAGGACGACATCGCATGGTCTGGAGACGGAGCCGTAAGAATCTTGGAGCAGCACATGGCAATGTGAAGGCGTCTTAACCGGGTATCACTCACTGTATTGGCTGAGCTTGAACCCAATCTTGGCCAGGATCTCAGTCTTGTGCGACTGGAGCTCTCCTCCGGCCAGGGCCTCTGCTCGTCTGCTCGCGGGTAGTATGCGGTTCTGCAGTCTCCTCGTCTGGGTGTCTGCCGTGTCAAGCCTGTGCAGTTGCTCCTCCAACTCGCTCAGCTCGTCCTGCAGGTGAAGTAGTAGCCGGTGGTTCATGGCCTTGAACCTTCGATAGATGGGCTGGATGGCGGGCTCCGCCTCCAACAGGCTGCTCCGGTAGCCGATGTTGCTGGCGCTGCTGTGACGTCTCGGAATGTGCTCACGTGGTGTGGCGGTCGACGAGGACGTGCCAGAGCCCGGGTGGCTGCGGGGGCCTGATTCTGACGACGCCGAGATGCGCGATGCGAGCAGCTCATAGCCCGACAGAGGCAGCTTCTCAGCCCGTGGCAGGTGCTTTGGGTGGCCCTGGTTAGGCACCCGCGGAGTCAAGACGCTGACGGGAATATGTGGCAGGTTGGCTGTTCCTCGTGGCATCTCGGGCGTGCCATACCGATCCACGTCAAAGAGGCTGCTACGGCGCTTGCTGGCGGCGTGCAGACTGTTTTCGACAAAGTTGAGGACCGGGGCCACGGGGGTCTCGTCGCCGTCCACGCTGCTCCTCTCCGGGCTGGAGCTTCGTTCGGTGTCTGTTGTTCTCTCGGAGGACAGATCGCTATAGGGACTGCCTGATGTGGACGACGATGACGAGGACGCGCTGTGGGCACTCGGTGATGCCTTGCCGTCGTTGTTGGTGCCACCCCATGATGCAGCCTCCTCCATGCTTTGCTCGATGCCGTCGGCTCCCACTGCTGGCGCATCCTCGTCCAGCTTATCGAGAAAGTCCGGAATGGAGGGCTTTCCAGCCTTGACGGCGACATCATGGTTAGCTGTTGAAAGTTGTGACTCGGGCACCATTCCGTCCAACGATGTCTTGGGCGTTGAATCGTCGCTACTTGAGCTCCCACAATCATTGGTTCTGTCCGCGGGCAGCGGCAGTCCCGAGTGCCCAGGTTGGTATGACAGCCGCGCACGCTTCTGCTGTCTCGTTTGCTTGCGTGAATCCGAGTTTCGAGGGTCGAGATCCGAGATACTGGAGCCGGCGTGGTCTCCCTCGAACCCATGCCAGGTGAAGTCGGCTGAGGCGCGGCGGTGCGTGTCAGGCCTCGCAACCGGAATCCCACTGCTCCTCCGCCGATCTCTGCTCCTCGGGCGGGGCTTCAGTAAAGGATGCAGCTGTGGTGAGCCCGTCTGGTGCCTCCTTATTGGGAAGTCGTCTTTAATCGAGGGCAGCCAGCTTTTGTCGGAGGCCATAACCTCGGTGCCACGATGGTCATCCGACCTCTCGTGTTCTCGTTGTTGCTCGCCATTGGGCCCTTGGTCTGCGTCCCGGGCCTCAGGAACAGTCTCGACGGTGGGCATGGCACGGGCGGGCGACATGATATCGGGCATTTGGGCCAAACTATCAAAGTAGCTGCCGAGGAGGTTGTTATGTGTGAGTGGGACGGATAACTCTTGGGAACATGCGATAAGTTGTGATATCTGCCGACAAGCGCACACACAATCTGGGATGACTCTGTCAAATAACCGCCGAGCCCGTTGTCTTGGCAAGGTATGGCGGAAGGGTCTTCAATGCGGTCACGGTTCTAAAGTTGGGGCGGAAGGCCCGAAAGGCAATCGGAGAGCGTTGTGGTTTGAGGATGTAGGCAAAAGGCAAACCCGCTGCCGCCACAGCAGCCTGAGACTCGAAACCCGCGAGAGCGGGAAGCCAGAGATAGCGCTGGAGATCATCTCGGCGCGCCTTGATAGTGGTCTGATTTTTTGTTCATAAGTGTTTGAGAAGTCCCGCGGGCGTGGCCAAGAAACGGACCAGCAGGGACAGCTTTGCTGCTAGCCGGGGCTGACGCTGGGGGTGAGAAGTCTGAGCCGACAAAACATCGACTAGACTGTTCACATATCCGGACACATTTGACACACACACATAAACATAGATGTGCCTGTAGCAAGTAACGTTACCCAGTCTGGTCTGCCCCGTTCGGGGTAGCATAGCATCATGCAGCATGCAACGGCTCCAGACCCATCGCACTCGTCCCCACCGTGTCCTGGCAGTCGGGATTTGAGTTGGGCTGGGCCGCAAAAGTGTGGATGTGGATGTGCGTGAGAGTGTGAGCGTGCTGCATGTGGGCGAGGAGCACAGTGTTTCAGGACGGGTAGGGCAGTTTGGGCCAAGTACCACGGTTACCATATCCAGTAGAGCCGCAGCTCGTGTCACGTCCGAAAAAGACGGGCCCCGCAGCAATGCCTGGCCCCTGAGCCTCCTGAAATCCGGGGGACGCAAGGTCAGCGTCAGGGGACCCCCCTTGAAACCACGCTGCCCCCCGGAACGTCCGAGGCCCTACCGGATATGCGGCTCCACGCCACAATAATACTGCACCGCTGCCAGCACTTGAGCGCGTGCTGCGGTGATGTGTAACTCCTCTCTCGGCACTGGCTTGTGGAGTTGTGGCTTACACTTGCTGGAGAATCGACGTCGATGTTTGACGAGCACCATGGCCCACAGCTTCAAGCAAATTATCAAAAATAGCACTGAACCGCGTGCCAAGTAAACGGCTCCAGGGATCAGCAAGATCAACAGTCGCCAAGTGGATAGCGCTGCTTCCTGAGGCGAAGGCATGCGTGGATACAATGCATCGTCAAACCTTCGACTGGATAAGGCAAGATGATCCATTGATATACATGTAAGCCAAAACCATAGTTCAAGGCTACCTTGGTAGAACTCCGCCCCTCTGATGCATTGATTTGCTGACGGCAACGGATCAACGACATCTCGACTTGAGGTGTCTCTAGCCAGGAGATCGATCCTGAGGATGCCGTATGCCGAGCCAGTATCCGTCGGGAGGATTTTGTTGGACGAGACTAGATGCTGTAGCTGTTCGGATGCATGTCTCATCCAAGTGCCGTAGCCACAGCTGCGGACCGAACAGGGTCGCATAAGCCTTTCTCTCGCCACGGACATGTGCTGACAGCCGTAGGACTCCGATGGCCTCTGATCAGTTGCCTCGAATCCATTGGATGCGTGAATGGCCATCTGCAGCAGAACACAGCCTCGCAAAGCGCACCAAGCCGAACAGCACTGAGGAAGCCGCATCCCTTTCAATGCTTGCGACTCGCATTCAATCTGCCCCCAAGGGTGTCCCACAGTCCTGCTGTGCTCTCCGCTTACACTCCTCTTCCCATTTAGTTTCCGCGAGCTCCTCGCACTTTGGCTCGTTGCACAGCCACTTCAACTCAATTGACTGTCCTTCGACTCGCTCACAAACACCGATGCCTCGGCCAATTGCATCTAGACAGGGCTTGTAAGAGGTAGACACGGCCTTCAGCGTTCCGCATGACGGACAGTATGTTTTCACTCGGTACTCTGCGCCTATGATACCACGGCAGCCTTGTTAGTAAAATCATAGGATAGTTGGGGGTCATAGAAGCCTCTTACACATTGTGTCTATACCTAGGTAGGCACTTTCTGACCCACGATGAAGAGGAATTTTGAGCACACATGACTAGAGAAACCTCGTTCTGCCCAGAGCTGTCAACAGAATGGGGCCCGTCTTGCCGAATCCGAAACGTTGGAACAAAGACAGAATATGCGGGACGCGTTGGCCAGCCGCGGTGTCAGCCAACAGGGCTGCGATACAATGAATGACAGGACAAAGCCAGCATCGCAACAGTTGCCGTTGGGTCGGTTGGATACAGACAACTCGGCACGAAGTGAAACCCGATGGAGAATCAGTCGAGGCCGCCTTCTAGATAGAGAAGAGTGCGCTTAGCGAAACCTCGCCGAGTGTTGGATCGTTTCAGTCAGTCGTCAAGCCAGAGAACACTGCGAGGCAGGCTACAACTCGAACTCGCACACTGTGGCCATGTTGCACGTCACGGCACGGGGAACTTTCATCACAGGCTTGTTCAGTCGGATATCATTGGCCCTTTTGTGGTGTAGCTTTCCCCCGACCCGGCGCAGACTCGAACTTCGCCCTCCACCGGTCCTCCTGTTTGAACACTGAGATACACTCGAGGGCAGAGGGAGTGCCGTACTCTGGATCAGCGCCGCCCTCGAGAAGAGCCTGTCTGTTTGTGAGCGAAAGTGACTCAGAGGACTGGATTTAGAACGGAACAAAAGTCCAAGGAAACATTCTCCCAGTCCACTGACCTCAATGACGTCATCCTCCTTCTTGAAGACGGCCCCCGCCAGCGGGCTCTGTTGGCGGTCGTTCAGCCTGTTGGGGTCTGCGCCGTGCTGCACGAGGAACCTGACGAGGTCGGCGTGGCCGTGGTATGCGGCCAGCATGAGCTGCTCTGCCTGTCAGCCCTTGCATGGACGCACACAGACAGACAGACAGCATAGCGACAGGTCTGCAGCGGGTGTGGGAAGGGGCGGCCTGGGATGTGACCTCCCAAAAGCTTCGTTCGTTCATACCAATGTGTCTCCCTTGTCGTTGGTCAGGTTGGGTGGCAAGCCGGCGGGGATGGCCTGTGTAAGGAGCTCCTTGTCGCCCTGCCTGGCCGCGTGGTACATGCGCGATGCCAGCTCGATGGCCTCTGGGGGCAGTGACGGGGCGGCGGATGGGCCGGGCCCTGAGTTGTCCTGGTTGTCGCTCATGTTGCCGGCTCTGCTGCAGTACGACGTGCTTGATGCAATGTGAGTCAAGTACTCGAGCCTGTTCTAGCGACCGAGAAGCGGTTTGGTTGCTCATCAAAGTCGTTGACAACGGCAAATGCTCCACAGCAACTCGATGCCATGTCAAGTGGATGCTAGTGGGTGCCAACCGTCCGCCAGCTGCGGCCAGCTGCGGCCAGCTGAACATGCCGCAGCCAGCTTCCGTTGTGTGTGTGTGTGTCTCTCGCGCTTGCCCAGAGGACTTTTGCCGTCCCTCTGACAAGTCTCCATGGAATTTGCATGTCTTCCATTTTAAATTCATGGCATTTTGAATGCCAGCCGAGGATCCATGCAGGAGCATGGATTGGCGGGCTTGGCACTGACACCCTCGCAGTATAATTCAAGGCATGGCCACCTCACAACACTCACGAGGCACAGGCAAGGATATCGGCCCATCCAAAGAAGTAACAGGCTGTCGACACAGTCTTTTACTTCTGTTTGATGTCCAATTGACAAGCAGCCGATGTTACGCGTCCATCAGTACTCGGCCAGCCCAACTGCCACCCTCCAATGCAAGTATCAGTCGACGGAGCACGCGGGACAGCGGTGAATGCCAAACACAACATCAAAATGCGGGCACAAGGAAGTCTACCAGTAAGATGCTCTGGAAAATATGCGGGAATAATTTTACTCAGATGCAATGCTGGGCAGCAGCTGCTGCGTGGCCACCAGCTTGGTCGCTGAGATTCGCTGCAGTTGATCAGGATCATCCTTCGAGTTCCGGATCCAAAGCACCGAGTCAAGTTCAACCTTGGACGGATCAGCCTCCCCGTCAAATTTGTCTTTGGGCATCTCTCCGGATCATACCTCGAAGCCGAGCGGCTTAATGCAATCACAATGCGCGCCAAGTCACACCGAAAGTCTTGTTCAGACTTCATGTTTCTGACAGTTGCATTCGGCCAAGTTGAAAAGGCCGTGTCCAGAAATTCTCCCTTTGAGCTTCAACAGGAGCTCGCCGAATTGTTACATGCCGAGGGGCGACAACGAGGGGATGGTGAACCTTCTCGGGCTGGGCGAGGGATATCGCTTCAGGTTTAAATACCTCGCGGAGGACTCTCTGAATCCTCAAGGAAATGGGAATGTCTATCCCATCACCAAGATACATCTCAGGGTATCAGCCCCCAGCCACCCAGACAACACAATATGAACTCAATCGAAGACAAGCCGGCTGTGGCCGAACATCACATCACAGTTGAAACATGCCCAGATCCAGGTGGCTCTCCTGTCACCAGACAGTCTACTGAGGAAACAGTCGTGAGAGTCGACTACTCCGGAGCGTCCGCAAAGACAGACCCTGCAGAGATCAAGCTGGTCCGAAAACTCGACATGGTCATCATGGTGAGTACAGCCCTCACCAAGAAGCCACGCGACCAAAAACGCGAGTTAGTAACAGCCACCAGCCCGTTGTCTGGCTCCTGGTCTTCCTCAACTTCTTCACCCGCCAGTCCCTCAGCGTCGCCCGGCTCGACGGCTTCGAGAGCGAGCTGGGCATCTCGGGCACCGACTTCTCCCTCGCCATCTCCATCCATTACATTGGCTACCTCCTGGTCCAAGTCCCCTCCAACATGCTGCTTACCAGGATCTCGCCCCCCGTGTACCTGTCCGTGACGATGGGCCTCATGGCCGTCGGCACAGCCCTCACCGCCGTGCTGCACAACGGCCGCAGCCTGCTCATCCAGCGCTTCTTCCTGGGCCTGATCGCGGCGCCCATCTACCCGGGGTGTATATACGTCATATCCCTCTTCTACAAGCGCAAGGAGCTGGCCGCGCGCGTCACCCTCGTCTACACGGCCAGCATCTTCGCCACGGGCATGAATGGCCTCCTGGCCGCCCCGCTCTTCCGCACCATGCGCGGCAAGCTCGGCTTGTCGGGCTGGAGGTGGCTGTATATTATCTTCGGCGTCATTTCAGTCGTAATTTCGGCGTTGTCCTTCTTCATCCTGCCGGACGAGCCTCTGAAGACGAAGTGGCTCACCCCCGCGGAGCGCCGCCTGGCCCACGACAGGATCGCCGGGGACACGGTCGAGCGAAAGGAGAAGGGGAGCATGGTGCGGGGGCTTAGGGAGGCTCTTAAGGACCGCCGGGTCTGGCTGTTCATGATCATCCAGCACGTCAACGCGTTTGCGGGGAGCATCCGGATCTTCCTGCCCACGCTGCTTGCGACACTTGGTAAGTAGGACCTTTGAGCCGCTCTTGTGCGGAAAAGAAACTGACCCACACATGTACACAGGCTTCAGCCAATTCACGACCCTCGTGATGACCTGCCCTCCCTATCTTGTGGCCTGCCTCACAGCGATGGGCGTGTCCATCTCGTCCGGGCACTTCAACGAGCGCACGTGGCACCTCACGTCGCTCAAGACGCTCGCCGCCGTGGGGTTCGCCCTCGCGGCGGCGACGCTGAACCCGTCGGTGCGGTACTTTGCCGCTTTTGTGTTCATCATCGGCACCTGGGGCGGCACGTCCATCACGCAGTCGTGGATCGCCAGCACGTGCGCCCAGACCAAGGAGAAGAGGGCTGTTGCAATTGCGCTGGGGAACATATCTGCTGCCTCGACGTTGATTTGGACTCCGGTAGGTGCATATTGGCCCGCTTTCCACGTGTTTCTTTCGTGTCCTCTTCGCTGATTGGTGTTGGTATTAGTATCTGTGGCCTGAATCATCCGCTCCGAGATATGCGCTGCCTTTGATCACATGTGCTTCCGGGGCTGCGGTGTCCGTCGTGCTTTTCTGGCTTATGAGGTGGGATCTCAGGCGCCAGAATAAGAGGATTCGCGAGAACGATTTGACAAGCCGGATATTCTACGCTTATTGACCTTTGACCCTGATGTTGATACTCATTTACCATGTATTTCGGAATTGTTATGGAATGTAGACGGAGGACCGCTCTCTAAAGTTTAAGTTATCTAGCAAGAGGAATTGCGAACTCGAAAACAACGTTGGTTGCGAATACGTGAACTTTGTACTTGGGCGTCTGATGTTCGAGTTGAAAGAGCTGGTCCACATACACGAATCATCAACAAGAGGCCACCACATTAGGCGTAAAGCTAAGGCAGCCAGCAATTAAAGTTTATTGTGCGATTGACTCGAGTGAAAAGCTTGAGATCAATAACGGACAAAGTTGAAGGCATCGCCATCATCGAAACCCGCTGACATGTTAAGGGTTGTCAGCAGTAATAAAGTCAATGACAAGACTTTGGCGATGAGAATGACCATGAGAGTATCCTGACTACCTAAAAAGATACGCATGCTTCATCTGAGTCGCCGGGAGCATGTATTTGGGCGGTCGCCTTAGAAGGCTCCTGAAGCTGGGGCACTGAGAAAGTTGCAGGGCCGGGTATGAGAGCAGTATTGTTGTCAGGAGCAGAGACCAAACTGACGGCCAACTCGGTCAAATATGGGATTTGAAGAAGACTTCGGTTCTCGCGGCACGATGGGGACAAAGATTGCTCCCGTGGTCATTAATTGCGCAGTTGGGTCGGCTGCGCCCCAGGAAGGCGTTTTCAAATGAAGCCAACAACTTGAATCCTGCACAGATCATTGACGTGTCAGTTTTCAATGTCAATTTGGGCTGTCTGGTGCCTGCGGCCTCCGGGAGGCCACAAATGCCGGCCATGTCATGTCAGCCTGGAGGGGTGGGTCCACTGCCTCATCAATTTATCTATAAGTACAGTACCTCGCATTGAATTGTATGCCCATACCTGATTTTCGGTATTATTGACTGGCAGAATTGGGTCGGTGGTTTGGCCATTCTCAACTGTCTTCTAAAGAAACAGCACAGTTGGCAGGTATATCCGGCCGACAGTCGAAAGCCATGATGCCTGCAGCACCAACGAAGACCCAAGGACCAAAGTGCACACTCTGCAGCCGAGTCTCGCGTACAAAAGCTGGGCTCGCCCAGCACAGCCTGAGCACTGGGCATAATGCTGACCGATGCTGCGAACCATGCGTTCGACTTTTCAGGACCAAGGAAGACCTGAATGCACATAGGAAGTCTGCGGTTCATACGAAATCGTCCTCTAACGGACCCTCGAAAACGTCTTCAAAGGTCGCTAAATCCAAAGCGCCACCCATAATCCTCAAACAGCAGAACTGTACCCTTTGCAACCAACTATTTCAAACGAAGGCAGAACTTGCCCAACACAGCCTTGATTCCGGACATGGCAAAGACCGGTGTTGCCGGCCTTGTCATCGCCTCTTCAGCACAAAAGAGGGATTGGAAGCACATAAGAAATCATTCACCCACCCAGGAACAGCCCGCCATGATGGGCAGACTTCAACTTCTCAGGCGCCGCAACAGAACCTGCCTCTCATCTGTAGAGGCAACAGCTACCGAAGAATACCGCAGCAAGACCAGATCAGCATCCTCCAGACATTGCTGTCACGCTGCCATCCCAGGAGTACTCTGCAGCGACATGGCTACAGCATCCCGGAAGCTGGTGGAGATCAAGAAGGGCCTGGTTCCCCTGGGCGTGGGCAAGCCACGGGGGACGAGACCCTGACCTTACCCCGGAACGATCGATGCCGAAAAGCACGCAGAGCTGTGGTGCTCGACTGCGAGATGGTGGGCGTGGAAGGCGGCGCGAGCGAGCTCGTCTCATTGACGGCCGTCGACTTCCTCACCGGCGAGCTGATCGTCAACTCTCTTGTCCACCCGCGGCAGCCCGTGGTCGACTGGCGCACGCAGATCCACGGCGTCTCGCCGGCCGGGCTGTCGGTGGCGCGGGCCCAGGGCCTGACCCTAGACGGGTGGCAGGCAGCGACGGCCGAGCTGTTCAAGTATGTCGACCGGGACACGGTGCTGATCGGGCAGTCCCTGCAATATGACCTCGCCGCCCTCCATGTCCGGCACACTTGTGTGGTTGATTCGGCAATCCTGGCATCGGAGGCCGCGTTCGGCACCAAGGGCAAGCCTCGTTACTGGGGTCTTGGTTTGAAGAACCTATGCAGCGAGTTGCTCGGCCTCAAGATCCGCGAGGAGGCGCCTCTTGGTGTTAGTAAGATTCACGACGGCCTGGAGGATGTCCTCGCTGCACGAGAAGTGGTTTTGTACTGGCTGGAACAGCCCACAGCGGTCAGGACCTGGGCGAAAGGAAAGCGCAACGGCTTTCGGAGGGCCCCAGGCCAGTCTCGCAAAGGTCGTCGAGGGAAGACTCGGACCCGCAGTCAACAGAAAGATCCATGGGAGAATGGTCAGAGACACGACGACAACGAGTATATCTCGGACGAGGTCCTCAGGTGGGAGGATGTGATCGACTACGAGATGTGGCCTAAATCCCCTCCTGACTCTGACTAAGAATCCACGTCCCTGGGAGCGTCCGTACGAATGCTGAATTCGCACTGCCACTAGGTTAAATTAGCAGCACTATCAGATGTCATTCCATCTGCTTGAATGCATAGATAAAGCTAATGTTGTGTGGACGACGGCCGGGTGGTAAATCCATTATTGTATAAGTATTTTGTTCTTGTAGACTATGTATTTCATCTAGCATAGATTTAACCCATAGGGGTTTTTCTGGGTTATTTAATACCTCTTTTAAAGAAGAAGGTTCATTAATATTAGCTGCAGTTAAGCAGTATTTTAATATATTTTCTTGGGAATTTAATATAGATATGTGGTTATTTAATAATATATCTTGTATAATATATATATAGTTTTGGATTCCCTTGGACTATTATCTCATTTAAAATAGGAGGAGAATTTACTTCCTTATTTTCTTCCCTTTGTTCTTGCAATTTTAGGAATATATATATATCATTATTATTATTGTTATTATTAATATTAATATCGTTATTATTTATATATTGCCCTTTTAATATTTAAACATCCCGAACTAATATAGGCTTTTTATTATTTATATTCCATACTTAATATATATTTAATTTTAAAACTATATTTAATAATATACCCTTTTTATTTCTAGGTTTTAATTTAATTTTATAATTATTATTTTAAAAATATATAATAAATCCTTATATTTTTAAGTTATTTATATAGGGCTTTTTTTTATTTATTACCTTATAAGGGTACTTATACCTTAGGTTTTTATAGGGTGTAATATTATATAAATATATAGCATATTTTATTACTTCTTTCCATAGGTATATAGGTAAATTTGCCGTATATAAAAGGCTTCTTACTTTATTCATTATAATTAAATTTAGTCTTTCTATTAAGCTATTTGGTTTTTTTATATATAGGGGCGTTATATGGTAATTTATGGAGTATTTATCTAATAAGATTTTAAATCTTTTATTTATATATTTACCTTCATTATTAGTAAAGAATTCTTTTATTCTTTTATTATATTTATTTTCTACCTTATTTTTATAATTATTAAAAGCTTTTAATGCTTTATCTTTATTTTTAAGCAAAGAAACTTTTAAATATTAAGTTCTTTTATTAAGGAATAATATATAATATTTATATTTATTATATATAGGTTTTAAGGAATTGCTTATATTATTATATACTTTTTTAAGTATATTATATACTTAGTTATTTAAGCTAGTCTTATTTATTCTAATTATATGCTTAGCTTTTAAGCATACTTTACAATTACTTATATATTCTTAAATAGGTTTATTTATTAATATATTTATTTTATATTTTTAAAGAAATATTTCCAAAGCTTAAATATTTATATAGCTTAGTTTATAATGCCATTTATATATTTCTTCTTTATTTTTATTATTTATATTTAAGTTTTATTAAGTTATATATATTTTTTAAGAAATATATTTAGGCTTATTTATTTATTTTATTATATTAATTCTTATAAAGTATAAGCTATCTTTTTAATATCCTCAAGTTATTAGCTTATTTATTTCTTAAGAATATAATTTAATAATATTTCCTTTTAATTTTAATCTAATTTTATTACTTATACACTTATATTTAAGTATATTTAAACCTAAAAAAGGCATATAATATATATTAAAAAATCTTTTTATAATATTTATTTCTAAAAACTTAATTATTAAGTCCCTTATTTTATTTACAAATATAATACCTACATTACCCCATTTCATAATTTTATTAATTATATTGAAAATAAGCCACTTAAATAAATAAGGGATAAGTTTTGCTAAACCCTCTTAAAGATAACTTAAGAAAGAGCTTTAATGTAATAAAAAGGGAAGATAGGAATAAAAGGGAGCTAAAGAAAGGGAAAAGATAAATATTTTAAAAATTCTTAAGAATAAGAAAAGCTTAATTAAAATATTAAATATATAAGAAAAGAAAAGAGTTAATTTCTTTAAGAATATTTAAAATAAATATAAAAGCTAGCTTTTTATAGCTAGCTAAAATTTAATATAATATTATTTCTTATATATTTCTTTATACCTATTAATATACCTCTTTTTAAATACTTTGCAATAAATATTATAAAAATTATTAAAATAAAATCTTATTATTTTTAATTAAGCCTTTAAGTTTTAAAATTTACCTTATTATAATTTTAATTATTATTATTATCTTTAATCCCTTGCTTATTTATTTTATTATAGCTTTTGCTTCTTTATAAAAGCTTTAAATATTCTTAAAACTTATTTAATAATATATTTACTAATTATTTCTTTTTAGCTATTAAAGTTTAATTTAATAATTAACATTAATATAATTATTAAAGATTTAAATATCTTTATAAAATAAAAAGCAAATTTATTTTTTCTTTTAATTATTACATTAAACATAGCACGCTAGCTTTGCTAACTTCCGCTTTTACTTTTTATAAAGCTTTTATTTTTAAGTTTTATGCCTTATATTTAATTACTTAACTAACTTACTTATAAGCCTTTTAAATTATCTTTAAGTAAACTTTATTATTATTTTAATTATTTTAAATTAATTAGCGTATTTTAAATTTTATTTATATTTATTATTAAGATAAATAAGTAAGAAAGATCCTTATATATATTAAGATAAGCATTTCTTATTAATTTTAAAATATCTTATAATATAATATTTAAGCTAAAGGCTTATTTAATTAAAGTTTTGCTTAGCTAATTTTAAGCTATGCAAAAGTTTATACTTTATTATATATTAAATATTTAAAATTAAGTTATTAAATTAATTTATATTAAAAGTATTATTTTCCTTATACTTTTTTTATAATTAGTAGCAATCTTAATATATTATAATTTAAATAATTACTGCTAAATAATTTCCCTTTATAATAAAAGCTTATTTCTTACTTTAATTACTTTTATGCTATTAATCTTAATAAAGAGAATTAATATAAGCATTTAAATAGCTTTATTAATTTTATTAAGCTTTAATTAAATAGTAAATATTTAAGTAGCAATATTAACAATAGCTTTAAGTATTATAAAGTATATAGTTTTAATTAAAAAAGCCTTAACTTAATTCTATACCTTTTAATTATTCTTTCCTTAATTCTCCCTAAAGTAGTTTTTAATAAACTTAATAATATGCTATTTATAAAATACTTTATTAATTTATTTTAATTTTAATATAAATTCTTTATTAAAATTTTATATTTTATTTTTTAAGGCAGCTATTAAATATTTATAAATAAGTGCTTTATCATCCTTATTTATTTTATTATTCTTATTTCTTAATATAAAATTATTTTATAATAAGCAATAATTCTTTATTTTATTAAAAATTGCCATTATTTAATAATTAAGCATATAAATAAGCATAATAATAAATTTATAATTTTTTATTAATTTATATTATTAATATTTTATAAATAAGGTATAATTATAATATAAAGGTTTTTTAAGTAAAAATATAATATTTTAAAAATTAAAAAGCTATTAAATTATAAAAGCTATAATATACTAAGTTCTTAATTCTTTATATTTATAAAGCATTTCTTTTATATTAAAAAAATTAAGGGTAAGAAAAGCTTAATATTATTTTATTAAATTTATTAACTTAATTAATTTTTTTAGCTTAAAGTAAAAATTAATACTTAAGAAATATTCTTATATTATCTTTATAAGCTTATTATTATACGCTATTTATTTTATATTAAAAAATAATAATTAATTAAGGGTTTAAGATTATTAAATATTATTTAAGTAAACTTTATTTATAATAATTTTTATTTTAAAAGGATTTTTAAAAAAGTTAATATTTACTTTTTAAGTAAAGTTTTATTAATTTTAAATATTTATAATATTTAAAAATTATAATACTTTGCTAAATAAGTTTTTAAAGTTATTAAAATAAAAAAGTTTTATAATTATTAATATTTAAATTATTCTTTCTTAAATTAATAAGCTTAATTATTAAAATTAAAATATTAAGATTTTAAGGTATTTTATAATATAAGGGTAGTTAAAATTATTTTTTTACCTTACCTTTTTAATTAAAAAATATTTTAGCTTTTAATTATAAAAAAAGAAAATAAAGGAAATAAGTAATAAAGTAAAGAGTAAATAATAAAAATTAAGTAATAAAGAAAAGAAATATAATAATAAAAAAAGTTTTATATTTTTAAGAATTATTATATAGGTAATTAAAGTAAAAAAGATTAAAAATAAGGAAGAAATATAATTAATATTTAATTATAACTTAAGGCAGCTTTTATAAATAATTATTGCTTATTCTTAAATAAGAATTAAATAAGGGAAAAGATTAATATATTAAAAGCATATTATTATTAAAATAGCTAAGTAATAACTAATTTTTAATCTTTAATTAATAATAATATAAAGATAAGAAAAAAAAGAAGAAAGAAAAAGGTAGGAAAAAGGCTTAGCTATAAATAAATAAGTATGGCAATATATATAGGCTTAAAGTAACAAAAGCTAATAACTTATTGCCCTTAAGTTAAATAATTATATTAATTAAAAGAAAGGAATAATAAGGAGGCTTATAAGTTATTATTAAAAGCTATTAATTATTATTTTATTAATAATTAAAATAAAAAAGATATATAATCTTTTATTTTTCTTAAATAGCAGCTAATTATAAGGTATTTCCTTTTTAATTTAAAAGTTTATTAAATATAAATTAAAATAAGTTATTTAGCTAAAATTCCTTTATAATAAAAAGATAAATAACTTCTTTATAAGTAGGGAATTAAAAGTAAGTAACTTCTTTTAAGTAATAAATTAATCTTAATTAAAAGCAAGGTAATAATTATTCCTTTTAATAATAAAGTAGCTTATTATTAATATTGCTAGCCTTTTCTTATTATAATAACTTTATATATATAAATTTCTTTTCCTTTTTTAAGTTTCTTTTTCCTCCTTTCTTTTCTTAATATCTTTTTAACTTTAATTAATTATTAAGTTAAATTAAAATTAAAATAAAAT